AAAAAAAGGGAAAAAAAAAAAAAAAAAAAAAAAATAGTAGAGAGAGAGAGAGAATGTTTTCTTGGTGGAAGAACAAAAAGGACAACTGTCTGAAGTTGCGCAATGCATCGTCAACCAATAACCTGTGGGCAAATTAGAGAAATACCGCTTCTAGTTCTAGAGAGAATTGGCAAGTTGGCAACTATTCCTTTAGAAAATTTGACCTAATCTATACAATACATAAACTATTTTAGTATTTCGCTCTCACCCTGGATTTTAATTATAATTATATTAACAATTTTAATAATATTGTTATATTATATATCATAATTATATAATAATAATTTTATTATATTATATTACATTTTATATATTATATTGATAGATAAAATATTAGTGTTATATATAGTATAAGGGTAAGTTTGTCAACATGAAAATATTTATGTTCCATTTCAGAGAATTCTTAAAATTATAACCAAATAAATGAATTAATTTTCTTTTTTATTCCATTCCTATCATCATTCTTATTCTCATTCTCATTATCATTCTTTCACTGTAACCAAACGCATCCTAATTAACATAAAAGGATAATGAGTTCAACATACCAAACAAGTAGGGGTAATTTTAACGGCCCTTGTCGATTGGACTACAATTATCAAGGACCATCAAATTTGGATTTCTAAATGCCAAAGCTAAAAGCATAAAGTCCAACTTGCCAACTGAATATATGATCCCAATTTTTTTTTTTTTTTTTGGGTTCCACAAAATACTTGGAAGGCCGTGTGAATTAATATCCAACCGAAAAGAAGATCACAAATTTTTACTTTGTCAAGTTTTGAAAATCACACAGATTATGACATGAGAACTGAGTAAACTTATGTAATGTGAGTACACCAATGACTGGTTATATAATAAGAACAGAGAAAGTTGATGGCACATGCTGAATCAGGGTTCATTATTACTTTATTCATTTCTTTCATCTTTCTCCAAAATATACAAGAGTCATTCCTCAGCCGGTTCTTTACATGGTCAAAGAATATCATCAATTTTTCCCCTTCTTTACATGTTTGATTTTTATATAAGAGTCATAAATACCATGCATTTGTGTCTTTTGACCAAAAAATACGACACGAAAATAACATGTAACACGAAATTAATACAAAAATTATATATATTTTTTTAATTTTTTACATATTAAAATAACTTAAAATTGATAACATTCTAAAATATAATAACATCCATCAAAATTAAGTAAATAATAGTATAAGATTTTGAGTATAAATATCACAAGTTCATAATAAAATCTAAAATATATAATGAAAAAAATATATTTTTTTAGTTTTTTATGAGTTTCGTGTCGTATTCAGATTTGGCATGTCCAACTCGAAATTAACCCGTGTTTTTCGTGTTAATTTCAAGCCGACTCAATTCTGACCTGAATCTCTTTTTTCTCAACCCTAACTCACGAAATTCGTGTCGTTTTCAAATCATATTATCGTATCGTGACTCATATTATCAGCCTTATACATACATATATATATATATAGATATATAGAGTAGATGAGATAAAAATCAAACATTTAAAAATTCATTTCATTGACGATTTGCTTTTACAAGGGACAACGACAGCAATAATACGTCACAAGTCTCGTATTATTGGCTTTAATAAAATAAAAAATAAAAAAAAAACAAATAAACGACGTGAAAGGACATTAACGAACAATTAACACTTGTGGGTAAACATAGTTCCCGCCTCAAGTCTTGATCCCACAAATGGGACAAACAGAATTACGCCTGTTAGGGTGCGTTCCACGGACATCCTTCTGCTGTTCGTCTCTCGACTCGGCCGTTTTAGGGCAATATCTACACGAAATACGGGCAGCAACGACTTCTTGAGGGGACGAGGTGGTGGACGTGGAACTAGATGAAGAGGAGCTCGAGTTGGAGGCAATCGCTTTTGAATCTTGTTCATGCTCTTCCCCTGGCGTCTCCGTGAGCGATTGTTCGATCGTAGGCCGAGTGTCGAGGTTCCTGCGTTAGTCGGAGGGGCCGATGATCATGAAAGCCGCCATTGGCGGTGTTTGGGGCCTACTTGCCCGACGCGACGATTGTCTCGACGTCGGCAGTGGCCCTACTCGAGCGACTCTCTAATTGTTGGCCAAGAACTTGCAAATTCGCCGAGTTGCGGTCTTCCTTCATCTTTCGGAAAAGCCGATGATTTGTCTCGATGTTGGCAGTTCTTCCTTCTGGCGCAGCCCGATGCAGCCGAGGCTCCCTTGATAGACTGCCAATCAATTGAACCAAAAGTAAAAGCAACCGCCGCTCCTTGCCCCAATTTCGCCGGCTTCACCACGCTTGAGGCAGCCGAAAATTGGCTTGAAAACCCTTTTTTAGGGTACCATTTTGAGGCTCAATTTTGAGCGGAACTCACTTCATGTTAGTAATTGTTCAATTTAGATTTGTATTCTCCGTTATTAGGAGATTAAAATGAAATATTTATATACTTAAAATGGTGAATGGGTAAATGAGGAATTGACTCTTAATGTACTCCCGAAATTAGGAAAATTATCATAAAATTGAAAAAAAGTGGAAATGTGTTTTGTCAGGTCAGAAAGAGACGATGTGATTGTCTTCTCTAAACACTATATAAGCCTAAGAGATCTCTCACTCTTCAGTTGAGACACACACTAGAATTTTATAGTTTTTCTCTCCTCTTAAAAATTCTTCCTCCTACCCTAGAATTCTTAAGTATTCAGTGTAATAGAGTTCGGGTAGGTTTTCAGTTCGCAAAGGTGACATTGTTGTGCGCTGTTACTATTAGTGAAGCCGTTGTATCATGGGAGCTTTCTTTATTTTCAGTAATTCTTCTATTATTATTTTTTGTTCATCGTTATTATTATTGATATCGTTGTAATTGTGTCAATTCTGATTGTAATTTCAATTTCTGTAATTTTTATACTAATATAATTCTCTCATTTCCAGTTATATGTTCATCTCTATTTTATATATTTTGCCTAACAGTTCGACGAGTAGATGATTCTTGGGGTGGCCAGAGTCGAAAGTCTTCAAAGCTTATCTTTCTTGCAAATTAATGAGACGAAATCTCCGATCGTCCATATGACGGCGCTTGAGCTTCTTTCTTGATTGCCGAGCTTCTTTCTTATTAGCATTCCAGTCAATGGAACCAAAATGCAAATTTTCGTTGGGTTTGACATCATTATCGCCGGCCGTAGAAGAACATCCTTTCGGAGCCACAGCAACTGACCAGAACTCTTTCGCAGCCGTAATGCCGTACGATAACTAAAGCAAGATATTGACGCAGAGGTTCCGGCGCCGAGTAGGGGCACCGTCGATCGGAAAAATGAAACAAAGGATCTCTTCATTTGATTTTACACAAGATTTTCAAGAGAGGGTGAGAAGGTGAGAGAAATAATTGGACGTTAGCACTTATATAAAGCGTGGGGTGTGGAACATTTCTGACGTGGCAACTCCGCTGTTGACTTTGTTTCACGTGCCCGTTCACTTTATCAATTTGAGTTTAGAATTCGAGTTTTGTTACAGTAAAAAACTTTCACAAATAATCACATCTAACTTTTTTGCTACAGTAAAAAGCTCTCACATAAAATCACATCTCAACTCGAATTACAAACTCGAATCAGTGAAGTGAACATAACTAAAACAAGTAGGCATTTTCTTATTTATATATATAAAAAAAAAAAGCATTTTTGACCAAAAAAACCCACCGGTGAGACCCCATTTTTATCCGTTAGATTAATTTTTTAATGGTTAGTTCTATGCATATCTGTAGTAAAAATTTTAGTACCTTTAGTTATAATAAAACATCTCATTATTACCCTTTGTTTTTAAAATATTAAAAACGGTTCCTTCTCGTTTATAAAGAAAAGTTTTTTTTTTTTACCTTGAACCTAATTCGTAAGACACTAGTTTAGCTTTCGTGCAATAAACGTATTGAGTTGCAATTAAAATTTTAATAACGTAGAATATAAACACAAAATATAAAAAAAAAAAAAAAAAAAGGTTAATAAGAAATTTAAAAACAATATATAAATAATAGTCTAAGTGAAAAGTGATATGATTAATGTGATGAAACATTCTAAATTATAAGATAAAAAAAATTTAAAAAAAAAAGGAAAGAGATTACTCTAATGAGAAAGTTTAGATTTGAGTTTTAAGAAATCTGGCCTCGTTCATTTCACCGATTCGAGTTTTCAGTTCTAGGTTTTTACAGTAAAAAACTCTCAGAAAATGTCACATCTAACTTTTTCTGCTACAGTGAAAAGCTCTCAGAAAATGTCACATCTCAGCTCGAATTGAAAATTCGAATCTGCGAAGTGAACGAGGCCTAGAGAAAGAAGGAGAGTAAAGAGGAACAAAAAAGAAAAAAATTAGGAGAATATTAATGCAAGTGACTCTCGTAGACAGGTGGTGCCAAAAAAAAAAACAAGAAGAAAGAAAGGTAAAGCTCCGTTCATCAGATATATTTGAAGATAAATGGAGTTAAAAAAATGAAAGAAGAAAGTTAAAATAGAAAGAAATAAAATAAAAGGTAAAGAATGAAAATAGAAAGAAATGAAAAAGATTAAAAAAATGAGGGGCAAAATGAAAGTAAGAAAAAAAATGAGGGACAAAATACTAAACGGTGCATATTGGATGAGGAATGATGAATAGTATGGCTTAAGGATTATTTACATGTATTAAATTGTAATTGATATTTTCATAACATAAATAACGGATAAAAAAGAATGAATATAAGAAAAATGATTATTTATACAAGCAATTTTTGATAATAAATTCACTATATTAGACCAAATGTAGTACGAATAAAGTATAATATGTTACGGTTTATGAGGGATTAAATAGTAAAGAAACAAATAGATCCACAAAAAGGAAAAAAATTTAAACTGGTTACACATTTTGAATTTTTGTTTTATATACTTTTTTTTTCCTCAAAACTTATTTTTTTTATTACTTTATCATTTTAAAATCCTTACATATTATTATTTTAAAACCCTTACAACTAACCGTAATTGAATTCATGATCATAATTGAAGAGAATATTCCAGTGAGGATTGTTGAGATTGAGGTTCCACAATTTTTGAGAGAGCAATAAAATTCAAATGTAGAGAAAAAAAAAAAGAGAAACAAAAAAGGCACGAGGGTATTGGAGGTAAGAGACTACAATAAAATAAATAATGAAGCTAAAAAGAAATAGAAAAAAATTAAAGCAGTGAAAAGAAAAAAAGGTAGAAAATCATTTGTAAAATATAATGGTAGACAAATAGATTTAAAAAATGAATAAAAAATAGAATACAAAAATGATGGAGTTAAAAAGAAATAAAGATTTAAGTGGTTAAGCTAACAAACTGTAGTAGACAAATGGAGAAAAAAAAAAAAGGAAAGAGAGTAATGCAAGAGAAAGAAAAAAAAGGTTAAAACATTAGTAAAAGAGAAGAAAAGAAATGAAAGAAGTAAATTAAAAAAAAATCCTTTGGCAGTCTAAACGATGCGTTTTGAACTACCAAAACACACAGTGAGCATATGTTTCTACTCTTTTATATATTATATATAATGTCTAAATTGCCACTTTTCATTAATTAAACAGAAACTAATGACTTTAAAAATATTTTAAAACATTTTAATTTATTTTGATAGTTGAATTTTTAAATGTTTTAAATTATTTTTCAGAATTTTTTTTAAAAAATCAATAGTTTATTATTAATTTGTGATAAAGGTATAATGGACATTTTGTCTTAAAAATTAGCCTCGGGTACTAAAAAAAATATGTTTTTAAAAAATGCAAATATTGTTTTAATATTATTAAAAATATAGGATACAAGTGAGATGTTTTATTATAACAGAAGGTGTTAAAATGATTTTATCCCTCGTAATTTCTCTAAAAGTTTTGCTTCGTCATTGCCAAATCCTCTTGAATTTCTGGTGTGTTTGCTCTGTTATTCTACGTCAATTTTTATTAGTGACATTTTTTATTTTTTTTTGCTATGAATTTCCAGTGAAATGTTCTTGAAGAGATAGTATTAAAAAATCACCTTTTTTTATTTTCCTCTTGTTAAGTCTTATTTATCTAAATTCCTTCATTTCACGTGCCTTAGTCCTTTGTTTGACAAAAATTCACTAATCTGACTTTATTCGCTTTAAAGACTTATGAGTGAAGCGAAAGGAATTTATTTAGAACGTTTGATTTGTCCTTATTTGGCTATGGTTTAAACCTACCTCTTATTAAGTCTTATTTATCTAAACACCTTCATTTCGCGCAGGTCGAGGTTCTATAAAATTAGAGAAATAGTTGTTTTTTGAACTGGTCAGTGATGTTTGATTTGTGGTTTATAACCAATTTCGATTGGTACTTTATCAGTTCATTAGTGATAAATCAATTAAACAGTAATAAATCATGGTTATTACTGATCAATCACTACTAGTAAAGGTCATTTTCCTAAAACAAAACAAAAAATTAATGTTTCCCTAAAAAAAAAATAGTTCTACCATTTGTTTCCCGAATTTTTCTTTAAAGTAAATAAGAAATTATGTAAAATTAGCAAAGTCACTAACTTGTTTTCAAAACACATAGAATACTTTTCTTTATTAATAAAAGATTAAAGGAAAAATATGTAATTTTGATAAAACTTATTAGATAGACCTAGCTATTTGATATTTTCCCTATAAAAAGCTTTTAGGCCAAAGAAGCTGAAAACAACTTTTAAAAAGCACTCCCAAACCTCTCACAGAAAAGTCTTAGCTCTCATACCTTGTTAGTTGTTAAGCTTGTGTTGATAGATTTCTTAAATCCTTTCATTTAACGGAAAGATAATGAAAGTGTTATTTTTAGGTAGGCTTTCAAAGATATTTTACACTTCCATCCACACAGTGAATTGACCCTTCAAAGATATGTGTGATTGGTGAAATTATTGTTTAACAATCAGCTCTTCATATTGCATCAATAGCAGAAATTACCTGCTTCATTTGCCCATTATAAAAATGAATTTTTGTCCACAACATATTAAACTATGGACCCGCTAAGCTATCCAAAAAATACATTATGCATATTATGCCACTTGACTGACTTCTACTTTTACAGGTTGTTAAAATTACAACATTTGGCAAGAACAAGCTTCCCGCTACAGATTAATGATTACAGTAACAAATGTGTCTAGTTTATGCCGTGTCTAACCCAAAATCATGGGTGCCAATAGCTGCATGCTGCACCTTTCTTGCAGTAACCACTTTCGTAGAATTTACATACTCGTTGCCCTTTCGGAGGCGGCCTGAACGGGACTCCGCCGTTACTGCCACCAAAAAATGGCTGCCTGTTCCAGACATGCCTATTCCTACTAAAACCTGAATCCCTACTGTGGAAAACCCGATCTCTTGTACCAGGAAATCTCTCTCCGCCGTATCTTGGTTGGCTTCCCAAAATGCTCGCTGCAGGTGGACCTGAACTTATGTTTGTGTGTTCCTGTGTCGTAGGCTGAGCCCAATCCATAATCGCATTACCTTGATGCAACCCTCCTTCCCAGCTCATATCTGCAGTTGCCTGAACTGCTCCCCAATTAGTGTCCATGCTCTCCGACCTTGCATTCCAAGGGGCATCTGTCATGGTCGCATCCCAGCTTGTTGTTGACGGTGCGGCTGGTTGAATGTCTGCACTTGCCTCCCATCGGTTAACTGAAGCATCGCTGTGCTTTGTATCACCTTCCACTTCAGTACTTACAGAAGGATTCCCCGTCGATCTCCTCTTCGGATCAAGAACATCTGCACTACCTATCCTAAGTGGTTCCTCTGTCACATTCGTCTGAGGCAAGTGTATACCTGCAGTGGAGCTCAAAGCATCACCTTTTCCAGGCTCGGGTGCTGGGCTAAATGCCTCAACAGGACTAAGACAATCAGTCTTAGAGTCCTCTGTCAACTCCCCAGCATAGTTGATTATATGGGAAGACAGAGCATGTAATGACTCCATCGCTTCGACTTCAGCCAATAGATCTGATACCGAATCATCAACTAGAGAGCTGAATTCATTGGGCTCAATGTCATGCCAACTAGAGGTATTAGATTGAGGATGTGATGGGGAAGAATGTGTCAGTTGGTCACTCAATGAAGCTGGAGTGGCAGCATGATCACCGATCATTTCTGTTGGTTTAAGAGAGGAAGCGGTGGCAAGACTCGAGTCCCATTCCTCAACAGGACAAGGTTTGGCTGGATTGGGGGAATATCCACTCCAGTCACCAGCCACTTCCTGCAGTTGTGCACTGCCAACTACCAAACTAGAAGCAGTGCTCCAACTAACGCCAGCATCCTGGACAGGAGCACTTGAAGAAGCAGACTGTTTGTTTTCAGCAGCCTGACCATCCGGGCTCCCATTGGTCGGCTTCGCGGAGTGGCTGGGCAGATTTGGAAGATTAGTAACCTCCTGGTTTTGCTCTGATGTTTCAAGTGGTTGGGAAACAGAATTCAATCCAGAGTTGGTATCCCATCCATTTGAAGGACTACTTGCAGGCGGTTTCCAGTTCTGACCAGAAGATTGACCAGAATGACCCTCACCATCAGATCGCTTTTCACAAGCCTGGTTAGTTCTATTTTGACAATCAACAGTTGGCCAAACATTCAAGTTTCCATCACTCTGATTAGACTTGCTTTCAGTTACACGATCTTCACTCATTTCATGTGGCGAGGTTTGCTTCTCAGGAAGAATGGGTGTGGGTAATGAACTAGTTACTTGGGGCTGAGTGGGCCACACATTATTACCCTTCAATGAATCCGAGCCTTCGGAAAAAATTCCAGTATCCCCTTCGCCGGAGTTGACAGCTGCAACTGTTGTGCAACTAGACAAATGGGAGCTCAATCCATCACTTCCTACCACTTTATTCTTTTCGTCGAGAAGCTTGCTCAGAGCACCCTGATCAAGAATCCTACTCTCCTCAACTGTTTCACCATTTATGGGAGCAGCATTCGTGCTCTTGCTCTGCCCTCCATCAACACTATTGTCTCTATCATCGGAAGCAACTTTGACTTCCTGCAGCGGCAAATGACTGTTCAGTGGTAATAATTGCTCTTTAGAGTATTGCCCACTCAGTGCATCAGTCAGAAGTATAGAATTATCTGGTTTCTCATTCAAACTCCATATCCTCAAATCCTGAGGAAAGTGTCCACTCCATTTACGCAGCTGTAGCATGGAAAATGGACCGTGAACCTTCCCAGTTGGGTCCTGGTAGTGCCATATCCTGTCTATCTCAAAATCATCAACAGATTGGTCCGTCCCTGTCAAAAGAGGAAGTGTCAAAATTTCCGATGCAACAGAACATAAATCAGACCTCAACACTGCTTGATTGCTCCAACCAATAATACCTGAAGCAGCACAATCGACCGGGTTACTGGATGTATTCCAACTATCTAATCCAAATGTTTCTTTATCTCTAATTTGCTCAACAGGGATGATTGAATTCTTTAATGCATTGCTTCCAATATTAATCAAGACATCACCTCCTCGTCCTGGAGAGATGGACTCCCTCTTTCTACCAAAGCCAGAATTTCTTGGTCTTACTTTTTCACCTGCATAAAAATAAGTACAATTATCATAAAAAAAAAATGCTTCCCAGAAAAAAGAAAGAAAGAAAAATAAACTACGACCAGAAACAGAAAATAGAATAAATAAAACAAACCTTGTTTCTTTCCATCTACTTCTCCAGCATTGTCATAAGTTGGATCCATATTTGGATCAGCGTGTACTATAGGGACTTCTTCCAGCCTGCGCTTGCGTTCCTCAGGCGAGTTCAGAAGTTCTAATTTCTCCACACATTCTCTCAACGTGCAATAAAGTCAAGGACTTTAACTTCCATAGAGAAAATATTAGATACAGACTGCTTAGGGAACAAGGAGAACTACCTCTTGCCATTTGAACTAACACTTAAGCAAGTATTTTGATCCATTCATGGTTTAAATATGTAGAGAATATTAGATAATATATAACATAGAGATTAGAATAATAATAATAATAAAAGGATATTCTTTTCTATGTCCCTTTTCACTTGCTCGGTCACGAAGATGATTAAGCCTCAATATCTCTCCCTCCAGCCACTGAACCAGACAATATGATCATGAATGACAAAAGGCAAATTTAGAAATTGCAAAACATTTTTCTTTTCTTTTTCCTTAATAAAGCTAAAGAAAAAAAATCAATAAAAGAAATCAATAACTGGCATTTATCATTTGTGGCCTTAAACTTAAATAATAAAGGAACTCACATCATTTACTTTTACTGCTTGAAGTGCCATTGCTCTTTGCTGAATCTCCCCCTAAGCCAAGGGAATATCCTTTGTTAAGAAGGAAAAATAGCACATTGTAAAACAGAAGCAAAACATCATAAGCACACTTACTACAGTTAGCTGCTTGATGAGCCCGCATTTTATACACTGGCGTAAACGTTCACACTCATCCTGCAGAAATGGCTATCACATTAATAATTGCACAAACGAACAATATGCTTCTTGATAATGCTCCAGATGCTATACCTCCCTAGCTATCATCATAAAGTGCCTAATAATAATCCATGTTTTTTAGCCAAAGACAGATTAAGGAAAAAGCCTCCACCATGGTACTTGCGTTTAGAGCTAAGTATTTCAAATTAGTTTATATGTTTAGGCAAGCAACAAAGCTAGAAACCTTTTCACAGATTAAGGAGATTCAAAAAAACAAAGCAAATAAACAAATAAAAGACAAATACTAGTATACAATACTCTTATGACCCTTGCATCCATAGGACACGACTGAAGCTAGGTAACTTTTTTCGTGAGTTTATAAAGTTAGATAACCAGCATAACTAGGAACTTTTTCTGCAAATTGAGAAGATTCTAAGAATCAAAGGTGGGAAAAAAAGGATACTAGTGAATTCAGGAAGAAATATAGAAGGATTGTAATCACCTGAGAAAATTCCTGATTTGAAATCCCATCAATTGATACAACCTCTTTCTTGTTTAAATTTAATATTTCAAGCATGACATCAGTTTCCCTCGTGCCTATTTTATAAGGTTTCTTACCCTTACTGGTACCTGCACACAAAGTATTAGCAAAATATTTGCAAAAACATTGCAATGATCTATGGTATAAATGAAAGATAATAATAAAAATGGATGGCCAATTGTAAAGTGAATACCTACAACTCGGACAAGCCTATGCATTTCTGGCTTTTGATCACTACTAGAAACTTTTATTCGCACAAATGAACCAACAACCTTCTCAAAGAATTTTTCAGGATTATTAACTAAATTCTCCATCAAATCGCGGCGCAAATAAACTAAGTTAAGGTTGTGAACATCAATAGCGGCATAGGCATCTAGATTAGTTGGCAGTCCTTTGTCATCAATCTTCTTACGAACTTTGCGCCTCTTATCAATAACCAGTGTCATTTGGCTATCAGCGTTACAATCCAACTGGCTACCAACGGCATCAATAAATCCTGCTGTGATAGTATTTCTTACTGGAACTTCATTTTTTAAAAGAAAATGAGACTCGAGAAGCTTTAGCATTTCAATGTGACCCACACGTGCTTTGCCGAACATGTTCAGAAGCCTCTGATCACAAACAATTTGACATTGTTGACGACGATCACGAAGTTTGTATCTTTTTATATACTCGAGCAGTAAAGCCTGGACATCAAACTGGGTCATGACAGACGTATCACCATTTCTCATATGTGCAACAAACTCCAGGAGCTCCTTTGAGGCCCAACTTGATTCTCCATGAGCATGTGCCACTCTATTCTCACCAGGTTTTTCAACAGGCAAAGAACTCTCGTTTTCGAGAACTTTAGGCTTGTTGTCAAGCTTTCTTCTTTTAGCATTAACAGCTTCCTTGTTTGCACAACAGTTCCCAGACACGGAGTTTTTATCCCCATTTCCACTATAAATTTCACCAGAATATCCCCAGTTAGAAGCATCAACTGGAGGCGCTTTCCATGGATTTTTTGCTTTCAAGAGCTCATCTAAAGTCAATGATAATTTCCCTTGTAAAAGAACCCAGTAGACCTTGAATAGATACTCCCAACTGCTTTGGTCGTCAAAATCCACTTGAGCCTGCAATAATTTCAATGAAAATGTAAAAAAAAAGGCACCAGCAGAAGGTTAACCAACAATCAATTAACATAAGATAAAATGTGTCCTCCAGGAAGCTCCAGATACATAATTGAACATTCTTCAGTATATGACTAGAAAAGAGGACGGCAGCAATTTCAGGTGTATAAAACCGAAAGCAGAGAATGTTCACATGGTTTTAAGTCAATGATAACTTCCATGCTAAGGCAAACAAGATGAGAATCTTCAACTTTGTGTGATATTCCCCAATAAAATTCAGTATACAGGCCGGAGAAACGCAATCAACATACCCCTTCTTTATTTACTTGAAACTTCTCAATCAACAAGATAGTTCTCATGCACGTTCCACAAAATCCTTTGTTTCCTCGTACAGAAACATAATCAGCATCCTTAGTACATCCTTTGCACAAAGAATACGTACAAGTGTAGCACACATAATGGGAAGCTTTCTGACAAGTACTACATATATGCCAACCTGACAGGCACACGAAATTAGAATAAGAAAACTTATAAAAGCGTATTATTTCCTTGACATCATAATGAATGAATTGACAGAAACAAATTGCAACCAAAATTTAGTAATTTAAACTGATTGTATTTAGCTGTAATAATTTGAAGAAGAAGAAGAATTTGAAGAAGAAGAAGAAGAAGAAAAAGCAATTATATGAAATATACCACAATTCCATTTAGCCCTTGATCGAAAAAATGACTCGTCCCTCTTGATGCACGCTGGATGATATGCCTTAGGGCAGCCCCTAATAAGTAATAAAAGCCAAAAAAAGCATATGAATAATCAGTATCAAAGAGGCATTAATAAACTAAAACTAAACATTCCAAGAAAGGAAATAAATCATAAATTATAAACTCCTCATTTGACAGCCAACAAATCATAAAAATGAAAACAGATATTGTTTTTATCAGATGAATAGCTCAAATCAGCTGAAAAAAACTCAGCTAAGTTGGAACAACCAAATTCGTAGCTCAACCAACAACCAAAAAAAAAAAAAAAAAACTCGTAATTTCCTCGCTTTAACTAATCACAATAAGGCCCAATTGAGTATATTCTCAAATTTCCATAATTGAAACGAAGAAAAGTTTCTCACTTGATCCCTTGGCAAAATTCATACTCGACTAAAGCTCAATTTTCCTTCCTCTTCCCAAAAATTCTCACGCCAACCAAAGACCCTATTAAAAAAACTAAAACATTTACCAATCAAAAAGCAAGAGGCGCTCACCGGCGATCACAGAGAACGAGGCTCCCACCGTCGAAGCATATGAAGCAAACGTCCTCTTCGTCCTTCTTCCTCAACGGCGTCGTCGTCGTCGCCGCCTTCGCCTGTCCCCTCGGCGGCCGCCCTCGCTTCCGCTTCTCCACCACCACCTTCTCCCCCAATTTCACCTCCACAGCCACCGCCGGACCGCCCTTCTCGGCCGCCGCGTGTCCAATTCCAGCGGCGATCGCGACCGGAGCTCCAACAAGCTGGGACTCGTCCATATCCCCAATCATTTCGCATTGATCGACGCCGCTCATAAGCTCCAGCTCCAGCTCCTTCACCGACTGGTCAAATCCTCCGCCGCCGCCTCGATCACCTACACCTCCATCGCCATCGTCCTCCATAGAAGGTCTATACAAGCTCGAAGCTTGCGCTTCCATAATCCAAAAACCTTCCAAATTCGTCGAATTCAGAACAGTAACAAGACAAAAAATTTCCAGAAACAAGCTTCGGAACAAAATCGGAAACAAACAAAAGAAGAGGATGAAGAAGGAGAAGAGAAACCCTAGGCTTGGGAGCGATTGGGGCGAAGTGGCGGTGGTGGGAGAGGTGAGGACACGGAAATGGACACGGCGAGGATGTGACTTGGCATTGTCACGTTGGTCTGTTTGGTTGGTTTATGTGCGTTCTGAGACAAAAGATGGGAAAGCAAGCAAGAGAAGGTCTGCGATGAGAGAGAGTTTTTAGAGAGAGAAAGTTAGAGATAGAAAGAGAAGAGCTGAACGACACCGAAAGAAGGCGGTCACTCGGGATTGGCAGAAAAGAATGGTCTTTTTTCTTTTCTTCTTTTCTTTTTTCCTTTTCTTTTTTTATTTCTATTTTTGGATCAATCTCAAATGTGCCCCAAATTTTAGATCTTTCATATTTTGACAAATGAACTTTGAAAAATATCACTTTAATCTTGAATTTTGAATGAATCCGCATAAGTTTTATTAGAATTTTCTTTAAAAATTGATTAAAATAGAAGGGAATGGGTCTCATTTAACCATTTTTATTATCATTTTAGGTGAAAATAAATGAAAAAGAACCGCATGAGCTTACTTTGAGGATGTTTATTTCTTATATTCGTTCATGATTTTTTATAAGATTTTTCTCTTATAAAAAACACACGTAAAATAAAAATAATTTTAAATCATAATTCTGAATTTATAAACTAAACGTCTACTTAATGCTCTCTTTTTTTTACTGTTTTTAATGAAAATTCTAATAGAGGGAGTTTATGGGACTAATTTAAAATTTGAAGAGTTGAGTGAATATTTCTAAAGTTTAAGGAATAAAATGGTAACGATTCTAAAACTGAGGGCGTGAGAGTAATTATCTATTTTAACTAAAGAGGAGAGAGAGAAGCAGCGTCAAATGCGGGCCTTGTGAGACTTTGGGAGTCCTCTTTGCTTCGCTCTCTCTCTCTCTATGTTCCTTTCTCTCTCTAGGATTCTCTAATCTCAAGCACCACGTGGTTAGTGGGTACCGAGAAAAGGCGACCGGGAAAGGTGGGGGCCACCTTGGAAAAAACACAGTTTTTTTTCTTTTTTTTTTTTTAAAAAAATTTGCATTTTGTTCAACGCTAAAAACATGATCAAACACATTTGAAACTCTACAGTGTTGTCACTGTTGTTAGACTTGTTCATCTTTATGATTTGAAAGAAAAATTAAAACGAATTAATAAAGACGAGGAGAAAATACTATTTTATTAAACATAATAGAACGTCCTTCTTTTCTTCTTGAAAGGCATTTGAACGTCCTTTTCGAAATACTCTTTTATCAAACAGTAAAAAGATCCATTTACTTCTTTTTTTTTTTTTTTTTGCTAAAAAGAGACATATGTGCTTATTAATTTCAAACTAAACCAACTTTACATTTTAAAATATCAAAGATATATTTACTTTAAGTTACATTTCTAGTAACGATTAATCAAACTTATTTTTACGTGAGACGTTTAGTTCATGAGTTCAGAATCATAATTTATGATTTTGATTTTTAAAATTTAAATTTTTTGTGAGAAAAAAACACTGTAGAGAATTAAGAACCATGATTCAAAATCAGAGACGTACTCTTGAAACAAACATCCCATAAATCATCACTTATTATTACTATTAAATCATTAAACCATCACTTATTATTGCTATTACCAAACACATTTCACCAATTTAAGTTTTCAATTCTAATTTTGCTACAGTTAAAAGTTCTCATAAAAAGTCACATTTAACTTCTTTTTTTTTGTTACAGTGAAAAACTCTCACATATCACATCTTAACTTGAATTAAAAATTTGAATCTACGAACTGAACGAGACCTGTAGTTGCAATCACCCAATCTAAAATTTTACTCTAAAATGAGTTTGAATCTATTACAGAGCACCCTCATATTCCCATCAAATTTCATACGTTATTGTGTTTGTTTATAAATTTCAACAGTATGATTTGGAAAGATAATTTGCGAATCAATTTTTAACCATTCGGTATATTTTAAAACTCTTTATTTTGTATATTTTTACTGCGATGTGATTTTGATCACATTTAACTATAAAAACTATACACTATTAGTATATGATTTAAATGTGTAAGTTTGAACCGTCTAATTTAAGCGAAATTTTCCAGGTCGACTCGGTCCGGTCCTAAAATAGATAAAGTCAGCTTAGCTCCGCCCTAAGCCTAAAAATTTTAGGAGCGGCCCGGAATTTTTTAAGGTATCTATAAAAATAGTCAGCCCGGACTCAGGCCAACAGTAACAGTCTCGAACATACTTATTTAGCTTGATTCAAACTTGATGTTCTAATATGATCCTATCAAGAAAAGACTCTTTTTTTTTTTTTTGAATTGATATATTTGTTTTTAAAAATTGTTCTTTTATGGAATGTTTGTTCTTCTTTTTATTACGTAAAAGAAAAGAAAAAAAGAAAAAACCATTTATCCAAATTTTCCTTTTTGGTGCTGGGTTGGGTTAGGCGCATTTATAGCCACCGTCAACTTGCCGGCTGCTTGTATCGTCGAGCAGTTTGGTGAACTGCACTTTCCATGTCTAGCATTTTAAAAAAGCAATGATTTGACTTTCAATATATATCTAGCAAATTAAAAGACAACGAAAATAAATTTGCTTTTATGTCCTCTAAAATTTTGGATCAAGATAAGATTACTCTTACACCACATCAAATGTGCGTTTTAGTTGTTTGTATATAATTTCCTTTAAAAGGTCAAAATATCTTAAATATCATATGGTGCAACTTGCAAGTGAGGTGAATAGTCAATTCTAATTCCTGTACTTTTCTACCCTATAAAAAAAAGGTCTAATTCCTATACTTTTTTTTTGTTCAAATTCCTTTACTTTTTCACAAAAGTAAAATGAAAACATTAAAAACGTAAAATGAAAACGTAAGCGTGTTTGGAATCATTTTTTAAAATAATTTTCACGTATTTTGAGAAATAAAAAATGAAAATGAAAACGAAATGATATTTATTTAGTCAATGTTTTGAACAAAAATGAAAACGAAAACAAGGATAATAGTTTTTATGAACGAATTAGAAAACAGTTAAAAGTTATTTTCATTTTTTTATTTTTATTTTTTAGTATTTATCAATAATATTATAAATTAATTGATAAATACGATTTGACTTTTTTATTATACTCAAAATAAGTAATGATTTTTAAAACAATCTCATTTTTACTTTTTATTGAAAATAAAATTATTTTGAAACTAATTCTAAACGGATTCAAAATGTTTAAAAAAAAAAAAAAAAGAATAGTCCATTATAGTTATTGTGAGTATCCTACGTGTCTTGAGGCCGAGTAACATATGGTTGGTGTCTAGCGATGATCTGTAATATATAAGTTCCTCGTGAGCACACACATACATCAATATGCATATAAAATTCCTTAAAGAGAGGTAATCGAGAATGGAAATTCTTGCATCTTCGAGGAGGTATCAAGAGTTGAAATTTGTATTCACCTCGGTGTTCCATTTATTTTTAGGTGTTTATCCGTAATCGAATACCTTTATATTTAATAATTATTTGTAATTGTATTGAGATTTATATTTAATAATTATTTGTAATTGTATTGGGATTTATATTGACTTAATTGTATAATAAAATTTACATATGATACTTGTTTTATTAAATTGATGTGCATTATATATTTTATCTTTTAAAAAAAAAATAAGGAAATGATGTCAATAGATTTACCGTTAGATTTTGGTACTTCTGGGTTTTCCTCTCCTACAGAGTGCTAGTCTAGTCATCTTATTTAAATTAAATCAAATGATGTTACCCCTTGACTCTCATATCTCTCACACTAAGTAGCAATAGTGTATCATGGGCATTATATGTGTGCAACAAGCAATCTGCCACTTATTTGTTCGTTCGGCTAATTCGAATCACAATATAAGTTTTTATTATAGTGGTTACTCTCATAAAAATTTAATTTTAATTTTTTTTACTACAATATTTTTTCTTACATAAATTCACATGTTAACTCAACACAAGCAAAACGAACTGTGACTATATAAATAAGTTTGGCGAGAGAATAAAAGTTATGATCTAATTGATAAAAATGAATAGGATTAATCTCACAAATAGTTTCTAAAGTCTACCCTGAATCCCATTTTGGTATCTGACGTTTAGAACGTCTTACAAGTAGTTCCTGAAATTTTACTCTTTTTTTTGCAGTTTTGATTTTTCTGTCAACTAGATGTTAGAATCTATTGTTAATTAAATATCAAAACTGGAAACAACTAACAGTTAGGGACTACATGTGGAAATTAATTTTTATCTTTCGTATTATTTTAGTCTCTGAATTTTAGATGTTTTCAATTTTGGTCTCTAATTTTCCCATGTTTCGTTAAATATTTAACACCTAGTTAACTGATTGACTGAAACTGAAACAAAATAAAACTTCATGAACTCATTATATGACGTTTTAAAAGTTAGAATCAAAGCGGGATTAGTTTATATGTGTATATATAAACTAATCCTATACTATAAATATTTTTAATTTTTTGTATAATACAACAGTACTTCCCGCGGCAATGCGCAAGTTTTCGACTGGATGAGTGCGTGCAAAAATATTTAGACTGGATATATTTTTAAAAAAATTATTTTAAATGGTCAATTAAGGAACAAGGTGTTTTCATGGAAAATAGTTCAAAATACTTAAGGGCCCATTTAGTTCACTGATTTGAGTTTTTAATTTGAGTTGAGATGTGACTTTATGTGAGAGCTTTTTACTATAGTAAAAAAGTTAGATATGATTGTTTTTGAGAGCTTTTTACTGTAGCAAAACTCAAATCGGGGAAATAAACGAGTATGTTTGTATATGATTCTGCTACAGTGTAAACACATGGTTTTAATTATGCTACATTATTTTTCTCTCACAAAAAATTTAAATTTCAAAAGTTATAATTAAAAATCCTAGTTTGAACCCATACACCAATGGGCATTTTTTTTTTTCTTTGGAGGAGGGGGAAATCAAGTTGTTAAAAAGAAGCTTTCAAGTATATCCATCAATTTGGACGCGAACTGAAGTGTGAGACTGGGCCGTAGTCGAAAGGGTATTAATTAAGAATAAGAAATAAAAATTTAGACTCATTCATTTTACGAGTAAGTTCATCAATTTTCTCTTTTTATAATGAAAAAAATTTAAAACACATAACTGATCCGACCTATTTTTATTTTTAGACCTAAACCGTTGGCTCAATCTGGCCCATATCTTCAAGCAGGTCAGGTCGATCTCGAGCCAAAGATTCAGGCTCTAGGTCAGCTAGTTTAGCTCGGCCCAAATCGATAGTTTTATTTTCAAGAAGCATGTTGAAGTTTTTGTTTTTTTTTTTTTTTGTTTTGTTAAAAAAAACAGAAATTTCCTATGTGTATAATTTTTTACTAAGGAAAAAAAGGTATTAATGTGTCATCATACCCCTAATCTAATAGCCACTTGACAATCTACTACGACTGCAAGCGGAATAAAAATGAACTTAACTCATGCTTTCCTTAATTTGCATTCAAGGAGGTAAAACTATTCAGTTCATAGGTTTGTGTAGAAATATAAAATTTTTGAGAAAAAAAAAAAAACTATAACAAAAAAGTTTAAACTGGTATTTTAAGTAACTCATGTTATATTTTGCGGACCTATAAAAAATATTCATGAGAGAGTTTTAATAAATCACCCTTCATTATTATGGTGCCACTGTTCAGTTTTATAACGCGATTTCTATTTTAGATTCATTACATGTTAACACAAGTTCTGGTTAAATAAAAGATGAGTGATAGTGATGGGAAGTTGACTGCCATAAATTTTGGTAGTTGAGATTGGAATTGGGCAAAGGTAACGCGAGAGTTGGCCATTTTTTGTTTTTTGTTTTTTTAAATTTTAGAGTTTGAACAATTTAAGGATTGTGAATAACAATTTATTTACTTGAATTTTTTTAGTCATTAGATTTGCGTATTTTATTTTTATTTTTATGTAATTTTATACAAATTCAACAGATAAAAAACTTAATCTACCAATAGATTAGCGCAACGGAAAAGGTCCCTAATTTATTATTCATCTTCTCTCCCAATATTTAGTATTTTAGGAAATTGGGGGCTTTCCCATTTCATTTTTTTCCCTCTTAGGGGATTTGAATTTCATTTTCATACATTCATAATAATAGCAACCAAAATAAGATTTCCTTAAAAAAATCAAATTAGGTTCAAAATTCTTTTTATAAAAAATATTAGGTCTACTTCATTAAATTTAAAAGAGGATTAATTATAAAATTTTGTCATGAACTATACCCTTATAACACTTTGTCTGCCGATCGTTAAAACGTAACATCCATTCTTTGTAAACAACAAAATGTTAACTAAAAAACCCACTTTGTTATAATTTTTAACAGAAATTGATATTTAATTAGTTATTTTAGAGGCATTTTAATAATTTTATAATTTAAATTTAAAACTAATTTTTAATTTTAATTATGAAATATTCATTAATAATTGAATGTAAGTTAAAATATTAATTAATCTTTTTTTGGCAGAATTAATAAATTTATGTAGTTTTTTTAAACATTTTTTCATGTTAAAAATAGGCAAATGAAAAATATATTTTTTAAAAAGGAACTATGTGAGGTAAAGGATTTTCTATGTCATCGGGGAATAAAGAAGATTTACTTTGGTTTATTTTATTTTATTACATTACATGTAGATTAGAATAAAATAATTAAGGTGTATGGATAAAATAATAATTATGCTTTAAATTTTATTTTATTTTATGTTAAAGATTGTTTAATTAGGGTGTATGTTGTTTTGTTTTGTTTTTTTAAAGGTTTTTTGTTTTAAACAAAAATTAAAGAGCGAAGTAGCCCTGTTTGTTTTCCTTCTCATTTTCATTTTTCACGATTTTTGAGAATGAAACATAAAAACACGTTTGGCGTCAAATTTTTGAAAAATTAAAAACAAAAATGTTCTTGTCCTTATATGAAAATCTGAAAACGATTTATTTCCGTTTTCATTCTTCCGTTTTTGTTTTCTCTCTTCAGCCCTTTCATTCTGCGACCGTGCTAATATATTTATTTAATATATTATTATTTAATATATTTAAGAATTGAAAATAATTTCAGAATAAAACTGTCAAATGTATTTTTAAAAATGATTCTAAAATAAAAATAAAAATAAAAATATTTTTATTTTTATACAAAAAAATAAAATCATTTTGAAACCAATTCTAAAGGCACCGCATTGTTAGGATGACTATTAATCGGAGAGAATTTTGTAATTAAAACACGTGGGTCTTAGAAATAAATAAATAATAATAAATAAGAAGTGGGTCCCATTCTCGGAACCACGTCCCCCGCGGTCGACATTCCTTGCGGAGAGAGGCAAATACACAAATCACAATTAGCATTTTCTTCTCCTTCAACACAACATCTTCGTTTCGCCAAAGCCAAACTCCCACAGAGACCTTCTTCAATAAGCCGTCAGAACCAAAAAAAAAAAACAAAAACAAAAATGAACAATTTGCAGAGACCCAGACGCCGCTGCGAGGGAACCGCCATGGGCGCCATCGTCCTCGATCTCCGCCCCGGCCTCGGCCTCGGCCCCTTCTCCCTCGGTATTTGCCCCTTTCCAATTTCGATTCTTCCGTTTTAATTTCTTTGTTTTTTCGCGTTTACGATTCGAGTTTCCAATTCGATTTGATTTCGGGTTGTTGTTGTTATTTTTTTTTTTTTTTTTGGGTTACGAATTAAGAATTATGTCCGAATTCGAGTTTACAGGAACCAATTCCTGTCAAATTCAATTAGAGAAATTCGAATTAGGTTTTCGTTCGATCGAAAACGCTTAATTATGTTTCTGGATGTAGTTTTTGAGTGTAAGGATCAAGTAATTGGTGGTGTTTAAATTAAATTTAGCTGTAATCAGGTGTGGTGGTTGTCGTTTGAATATAATTGCAGTCGTTTGATCTTAGAAGTTTTACTCGTTTGATGTTAGTACTTATAGTAATACTTGTAAAATGGTGTTCAGGAATGCCAATTTGTGAGGCGTTTGCTCAAATAGAACAGCAGCCGAACATATACGATGTTGTCCACGTGAAGCATTTTGACGAGGTATGCTTTCAAAATGCCAAATGCTGTATATATGTTGTTTATGTGGTTGTTATGGATTGGAAAATTTTCCAAAACATTTCTTTCAGTATGCATATAGGATTTTCTATGCATGGTTCTTCACTTTAGTGGGATTCTTTTTGTGGGCAAGTAGAAATAGTATGATGGAAATTCCCATGTTGGGTTTGTTTTATATAGTTACTTAGTTTGGCATTCCCGTGCTTATTGATTGCAGGATCCATTGAAACTGGATATTGTCATTAGCTTTCCGGATCATGGTTTTCATCTTCGGTTTGATTCCTGGTCACAGGTATGCTTTCCATATTTATAATATGTTTTCTTTTTCCTTGCATGTATGATGTCTCTAAAAGTTAAGGATATTGTGTTTCGCTTTCTTGGTACCATGTGCATTTTAGTTCCTGATGGTTGATGGATGATGCAGCTAGAGACAGTAGTTTTGTTTTAATGCCTGCTTTATATTAATCCAACATGAATATGTTGCAGAGGCTGCGCCTTATTGAAATTTTTGATGTAAAACGACTTCAAATGCGTTATGCTACATCTCTTATAGGGTGGGTACCTAAATTGAAGTTATAAATAGTTATGCTGTGGATATTGGATATGTTGCTAATCCACATTTCTGTTCCAGGGGACCATCCATTCTCGCCACTTTTGTAGCTGTATATGCACTTTTTGGGCCAACATTTCCAGGAATTTATGACAAAGATATAGGAGTTTACTTTCTGTTTTATCCAGTATGTACTGCGAGGCTCTAACTATTATGCATTTATGTTTTCTTTTCTCTAAACGTGTCTCTTACTGGGATTTTGCTATATTTACATTTTAGGGACTATCATTTGCTTTTCCTATTCCAAGCCAGTATACAGATTGCTGCCACAATGGAGAAGGTAGTTTATCAATGTTCATGCCATGTTTCCTTATAGAATTTTCAAGATCTAATTTGTAACACTTTTTTTTTCTCTAATTATGACAGCTGAATTACCGTTAGAGTTTCCAGATGGCACAACTCCAGTTACATGCCGTGTCTCTGTATATGATAGTTCTACAGACAAAAAAGTTGGTGTGGGATCCTTAATGGATAGGGCATCAGCTCCCCCGTTACCAGCAGGTAGCCTATACATGGAAGAGGTGCATGTTAAGGTTAGTTTCTATCAGTTCTGGTGCATTTTAATCATTTCCTACTGACATGAAGAGTTCTGCTTTGATGTTTGTTTGATGAGTCATTTATTTTTTATCGTTTATGTTATATTTGTTAGTTTGTTCACTTCTTTGATCCCTGGGCGAGATTAATTATTTGTATCTATTTCTCTTAATATTATGCCAGCTCGGGGAAGAATTGTACTTCATGGTTGGTGGCCAGCATATTCCTTTTGGTGCATCACCACAGGCACGTTTTATTTGCAAGCACCTGAGCTTTAATTTTCTTTCTGTCAGATTTTTGCCTGATGCTTTTCTAATAGCTACGTTTAACTTTTCCAGTGTATGTCCAGCATTCTAGTTTATTCTCTCATGGTTTCCTTTTGGATGCAGGATGTTTGGACTGAATTAGGTCGTCCTTGTGGAATTCATCAGAAGCAGGTGTTGCTATATCTTGAAATAGAATGCTGTACTTTTATACACCGGCGGTACATATTTGCTTCTGATGCAACGTTGTGTTGTTTCTCAAGAACTTAGAAACGTGCTTTCTGTTGTATAGGTTGACCAAATGGTCATTCACTCTGCCTTAGATCCTCGTCCACGGACAACACTTTGTGGTGATTATTTCTACAATTATTTCACCCGGGGTCTGGACATCTTGTTTGATGGACAGGTACTAATCTTGTTTCTGGTTTGTGTTGGCCTGCTTTTAGCTAGCAATTTTCTGATCCGTCTCTTTTATTTGCACGCAGACTCATAAAATCAAGAAGTTTGTTTTGCATACGAACTATCCTGGTCATGCAGATTTCAATTCGTACATAAAGTGCAATTTTGTTATTTTTGGTTCCAATCGTGAGTTCTTTTCCATATTTATTTATTTATATTTTAGTTTATAAGTTTGTACCTTGAAAGTTAGAACTCATAAACTAGATTGTATTTTGTAGTCGGAGGATCTTTTCAGGATGGAAAGTACAGGATTACACCAAGTACCAAGTGGGAACAAGTAAAAGTAACACTGTTTTCCCTTGTTTAAGTTGTTTTCTGCCTCCCCCCCTTAATAATTTCTCCATTTTTTGTGCCCACCTTTTTATTCCTATTTTGTTTGAGGCCTTTTTGCCCCGTGTTTCTAGCTAAAATGATCATACGACAGGGTTTTCCTGGTTACTGTGTTGTTTTAATAATATGATACGAAATATAGGAAATCCTTGGGGACTGTGGCCGGGCTGCCATCCAAACACAAGGTTCGACAAGCAATCCTTTTGGATCTACTTTCGTATACGGTTTTCAAAATGTTGCATTTGAGGTGAGTTGGCCATGAACGCTTGCTCGACCCCAATAATGTTGTCGAGTAAATTAAACCATTTGTGCTAAGTTATGTTGAGGAAAAAAGATTCTCTCTTTGGCTAACGTTTAACATATATTCTCTTAATCTTATTAGGTGATGAAGAATGGTTATATTGCAACCGTGACTCTCTTCCAGTCATGATTATCATAGCATTCGGTATGTTCCATTTGGATATATCTTATTTTTATCATTATCCGTTGTTGATACTCAGCCTTCGACACAGTTACATGTATGCACTGAGAATGTCATTTATATGGTTTTCTTATGAAAACCTTTTTTCTGTTCTGTTTTTCTTCATGCTCCCACTGCAACGTTGCGATTTATTATCTTGCAAATCATGTTTGAGTAGATTATTGCTATATGCAACACATATAGTGTTAAATTACTGAGACTAGAATTTCCAACTCTGAAATTCACTGCAGTTTTTGATCTTTTGCTACTTTGTTCTGATTTTCGTTCTCCCAGATCTATGCTGGCGCTTCAATGCAGCAAAATCTATTCTATTCAAATGATCGTGGTGGGAAGCAATGACAAATGTAAAGTTTATGTAATCACTTGTAAATTTCTGGTCGTAATCATGTATTGTATATTCTGTATTATTAGAGTTTCAAGAGCTGCAATGCTTTTTCCTAATTCTCTCTCATCATTGACTTACAAGGTGTATTGCTTCAAACTTGCACATAATATCCAAGCAGTGAAAATCAGTGTATTTACACCATCATTTTGAGACAACAGAATCATGTTTTGACCGTAGGAACAAAGTGACAATTTTATGGTCGGTCTAAACTACAACAACTTTGGAAGCCATTCATAGCCATTGATAAAACCGAGTGAAATAAATGGTCTTGCTTCTTGAGGAGTTAGCTCTCTTGACCATGACACACGCCCTCCAAAACCAGCACCTGGGCCCATACACTTGTATTGTCCATAAAACACAGTCCTACAAAGACACCGCGATTCTAACATGAGATTTACAATGTCGCTAGCATTCTCTCCATTGGTCAAAATCAAGTCTCCCACATTTGCACATGAAAAGACATGGTTTAGCAAAAGAAAATGTAAAGAAAACTTACATGTCCCTGTTTTTGTCTCCCCAGTCATACCATCCTCTTGGAGTCACTATCTTGTCCATGTAAGTGAAGGCAAAGACGACCCTACTAAAAGTTCCCCACGCCCTGCCCAAGTACAATGCTCCTGACCCGGTAACCTTACACTTGACGAATGAGAACCCCGTCTCCTGAAGCAAGTTTTCTCTCTTCTGGGCTGTCAACGCACCGTAGCTGTTTCCCGTGGCGTGCAAATGGCAACCTCTGTAGAGGGAAAGGCCGTTGCCGAAGATGAAGTCGACGGAGCCCTCGATGTAGCAGTTCTCAAAGTAGTGCCTACCGATGTGATCATATAGGGTGTCTTGTGATCCTATGAACTTGCAGCTTATGAAGGCTGCTGTGTCGGCCGAAATGCGCAGCGCCACAGCTTGCTTTCCTAGAGCTCCTGATGGCGGCGATGGCGCTTTGTTCTGCCAACGGAATACCAATTCAACATATTCAGTTAGACAAAAAAAGTTTTTGCTCAACTCTAGTTTTGCAGTTTAATGGCTTACCTTGAACGTGACATTCTTTGCTATAAAATAAGGAGAATTAACTGCAAAAGTTGCAGAACCAAAGGTACCCAGAGGACGCCCACTTTGTCCCAATCGGTCAGCTGTATCATCCCACTCAATGATGGTCTTGTGTACACCAGAACCTTCCAAGGTAATGTAAGCCATGGTATTAGGAATCTCAACCTTTTCCCTGCATTTTCATATCCATTTTTCAATATACAAAAAAGGTAAAAGAAACATAATATAACGGGCAAAAACCATGAGAATTAAAACTAGTTTTAAGTTCCACAAGTAAAAAAAAAAAAAAAAAAAAAAAAAAAAAAAAAAAAAAAAAAAAAAAAAAAAAAAAAAAAAAAACGAAGAAAGAGTTGCTCTATAAGACTGTATATCACACCTGTAAATCCCTGCACCAAGTGAAATAACCACTCTACAGTTACTGAATGTAGGCAGTGAATTAATGGCCTTTTGTAGAGAAGTAAAAGCTCCTAATCTTGGGTTTTTGTTAACTTTTATAGTCTTGCAAGGATGGAACTTGTTGATTGCTTTTTGGAAAAGAGAATGTTTGTAAGAGTCCATTTGCTTCACCCAGTTTAGATAGGCTTCTTCAACAGTTTCCAACCCATTCGGACTTGTTGAAGAACCAACACTTTTGAACACCAAAAAAATCACCAACAAAAACAATACTCTAAAACTTCTCATTGGTTTGGAAGGAAAGCCGCACCTCAACAAGCTCTCCAATTAAGTTGCGTTTTTCTAAAGAGTGGAGCTTAGAACTTGGCAAGTGATAATAAAAGTGATAAGGCACCAGAAACTAAATAAGTTAGAAAGAGAGGTCCTGAAAAGCAAAAATGGAATCTGACATTGGTTTTGGCTGTATATGCATTGTCTCTTCCCACCATTCCAACGATAAATCTGGAATGGCAGTGACTTGTAGTAAAGTGGCGTTTCCTCTTGTCCGTGTTTGGTCTTCAAAACGGCAGTAGAATATACTATATACATGTAACATGTACGTATATGCATGTATGTACTGTGTACATGCAATATTTGCTTGTGTAAAAATTCTTCTAAAATCAGTGGCAAAAAAGGGAAGGTCTCTCAGTGAGTGGTTGAATGAAAAGCGTGCATTTGTTTAGGCGTGGTAAAACACGACAAAAGATTTGTACTTTTGATTTGATTTGATTTCTTTTTTAATTTCATTTGATTATACAACACCTAGGGACATGTTTGTACCAAAAATAAAAGTCACTCTATATCACCAAATTGTTTATCAAACTTTGAATATAAAATGATGTGGTGATTGACTAATTATAATATCATTTGGTAAACGATATTTGAAAGTCACACATGTAAAATGCGTTGCCACATCGTTTAATATTCAAATTTAGTAAATAATTTTGATTTTTTTTGGAGGAAATAAATAATTTTGATTCTGATCATATGCATTCATAGAATCCCTTACTCATTTGTTTAGATTACGTTTATTTCGAAGGTTTTGGCATGGTTTAAAATTATAATTTTTAGCACGAAAAATTTAAAATTTAAAAATTAAAATCATTAACCATGATTTTAAATTTATGAATCAAATATCATCTTAATAATTACACAAAAAGAGAGGGAGAAAAAAAAAAGAATACGAAGGAAAAATAATTCCGTTGCCGGGACTTGAACCCGGGTCTTTCGGGTGAGAGCCGAATATCCTAACCAACTAGACTACAACGGATTGCTGTTATGTGGCAGCATATTATTTTGATTTAACAAAAAACAAGCAATATTCTCGAGTTGGGACAGGAGAGGAGGAGGGTTTAGTCCTTTTGTCTTGCTCTTTCAAAGCCCTTTCTCGCAAGCTCCTGCGATTTTACTATCCATTGTCCGAAGAAAACCTCCCAGGTATCATTCTCAAATTTGGTTCCTTATTTTTCTGGTTGCTGATATTGTTTACTTCATTCATTCCAATCACGAACATGTTAATTTCATTTCTTTTCATTTTTTTAATTATGTTTCCTGTTAATATCCTTTTTCTATCATGTACTCGAGAACCGCAAATTTTTTCTCTCGCGTTTCATTTTCAAGTTTCTTGCTTTTAGCAGGATTTTCAGCTGGTAAAACAAACAAAAAAAAAAAAAATCGACCCAAGAAAAAAAAAGTTATAGTATTTGAATAGTAGAAGTAGTGCAATTATTCTGATTCTAAATATTTAAATCTTTATATGCCCATATGATTATTTGCCAATGTTTACATGTTGAGTCGTGAAGGGTACTTCTTCTTCTTCTTTTTTTTTAAAACCATATAAGCCTTTTCTCTTAAATGGGTTTCTATGGATTTTTAATCCTTTGGCGGTAGAATTTGGATATGACTGATTCTTATATTAATTTCGGTTTTTATGGTTTTTGATACTTTGAACTTTGTCTTGCAGTGTGAGTGACAATCTGTGGTGTATTGTGAAAAATGACTGTGTCCGGTCTTACTGGTAGCCCTTCAAGATGTTGTGTCCGGATACCTGTAAGCAGTTCCGGGTCGTTATGCGGGCAAGTTCCGGATTTTCCTTGTATTGGGAAACCTGCAGAAAAGATCAAGGTACTTCGTCTTGGAAGGTATAGCTCTTATATTATGTGAATACTGCCATTGTTTTAAAAGATTACATGGGATTTCCATTCTTAAAGTTATTGTTTTTCTTTTGTGTCATGAGCAGAAATTATTTGATTGGTTCTACGCAAAGGTGGAATACAAGAAAATTTCAACCGATCAAATGTGCAATGGATGCTTCTTATGGTGATATGACAAATGAACCAACTGGTATGTTAATGTTACTTTCAAGTCCTGGAAATTCATGCTAATTTTATTTGCACCAACCATGTCTGATCAATACAATAAGGTGAATGAACAAAACAACTTCCAATATTATTTTTTGACTGCCTAATATGTGTGAAATTTTCCATACTTGCGTTTGCATAACTCTGATTTTGTTGAATTACCGTCGCACTGAATTATTGATGCGCTTTACAAGTTGGTATATTTCACTCTCTAATTTTGTTACTTAATTGCCTTCGCAAACTCAGTTATCTTTCCTAGGATTAATGTGAGGGACCCATACAAACGACTTGGTATAAGTAGGGAGGCTTCGGAAGATGAAATTCAAGCTGCAAGGAACTTTCTTATTCGACAGTATGAGGGGCACAAACCTAGTGTAGATGCAATTGAATCAGCTCATGATAAGATAATCATGCAGAAATTTTATGAGAGAAAGAACCCAAAAATCGATATTAAGAAAAAGGTCAGGGAAGTCAGTCAGTCTCGTGTTATGCAGGCTGTGAGGAGTAGATTTCAAACACCGTCGACGCAGTTCATCATAAAAACATCTATTGCATTTATTGTACTTGGAGCGCTTACCGTTCTCTTTCCAACTGAAGAAGGCCCAACTCTTCAGGTAGCCATTTCTCTGTTGGCAACGATTTACTTTGTGTTTGATCGGCTGAAGAGTAAACTCCGAGCCTTTCTCTACGGGTATGTGAATTTTTTCTGTTTCATTGCCTTTTATTCGTATGCATTTTTATGTAATTTAGCTCTTGATTTTTATTCAGAAGTAAAACTTAGTCATAACGGAGCATTTTTAGTTCATCAATCCAGTCCTTTGTTGGTTTTATGTTATTATATTTGATAGGACATGCTTATCGCAACAATTTGCTCTATTTGGCATTTCCTTAAGCCTGTTAATTCTAGAACAATCTTTCCCTGTCGGGGTTTAAACACATATTTGCAGCATCTTTGCAATCTGGCGCCTCTAATGTTGAAATTTAAGTAGAATAAACATTCGAGTAATAGTGTTATTGCTTTGGTGCAGTGCCGGATCATTCATCGTCTCATGGCTCTTGGGAACCTTCCTGATGGTGTCTGTAATTCCACCTATACTTAAAGGACCCAGGAGTTTTGAAGTCACAACTTCATTGATGACCTATTTGCTACTCTGGGTTTCTTCCACCTATTTGAAGTAGTGTCCTACTTATTTGTGAACCCCAATTTTGCTGGACTCAACTACACCGCAATTCTCGATGATTTAGCTTATGGACAGGTTTCAACTTTCTAGTTACAGCTTCTCAACTTTCTGACAGCAGTTTGTTTGCAAGCCTCCTAGTTTAGAAGAGAGAGAATTGTGGAAGTCATCACTTTTGTTTTCCAAAGAAGGGTGTAAAACAAGATGAAAGAAGGCTCACTAGTTTAAGCCAATACATGAATTTCCTCATTTCCCCGTTCTGTTTTTTATTACATGGATGGAGTATGTAAGTACAATTACATTTTGTTGGTTATTATATTGTTATGTTCTTTGCTTGGCATGGAACTTTGTAGCAACTTGTGAAAAACAATGGAGAAAATAATTATATGTAGGTGGAGATATGTGTTGGGGAAGGACCAATACTAGACTTGAGAACCCGTGGGGTGTTGGTTGGGATGGTCAGGCCTTTCGTTTTCACCCAAAAAGTCGGGTTTGAACCACTTTATGGGCACTTAGAGTCCGTTTAGTTCGTTGATTTGAGTTTTTAATTCGAGTTGAAATGTGATTTTATGTAAGAGTTTTTTATTGTAATAAAAAAGTTAAATGTGACTGTTTTTGAGAGTTTTTTACTGTAATAAAACTTAAATTCTAAACTCGAATAGTCAAAATAAACGGCCTTTTAAGTGATAAAAGTTATACTTTTCTGTCTTTCAAAGATTGTAGGGTTTGGCTAAGGACTTGAATTTCTAACTTGGGCTCACAAGGTGGGCTCGGAGGATTTCTGGGTATAAAAGGAAAAAAAAAATAGTGGACTTGTGAGGGAACCTTTTGTACCCTTTATTTCTCCTGAGCTGTAGGTGTCCGTGCTAAATTGGTGGTTGAGGATGTTTTGGTTTTTGGTTTTCATAGCTCTTGCCATAGGCCCTGGCCTCGGAATTTCTTCAATGTCGTTTTATATGATTTGCTTTCTGCTCTTCCACAATTCTGTCTCAACCAACATATGCCTTTCATAGACCTTTGGGCGTGCACTTGCAACTTAATAATCTATAGCTTTACCATGATACCCTCTTGGAAAGAGAACTATTGTAGAGCCTACAAGGAACTCTCGACAATTATTTACATTTTTTTTTTTTAAGAATAAGACTAATTTAAAATTAGAATTATGGGATTCTTTCCATCTAGTAACCCGGGCTTAACTTGTAAATGATTTTTTTTTTATAAAAAAATACAATACACGAGAGAACCCGTGCCTAGGGCTGTTCATAGGTTGGGTTGGTACGGGATATGACTTTTACTTCTCCCGCCCTAAAGAGCGCGGGTTGTACATATTTAGTCCCAATGATATTAGAAAAATTTCACAACCCAATGATGTTTGGGTTGGGTTGAGGCGGTGCGGGGTTGGTTGGGTGATCGGTTTCAACATTCAAAGAATTAAAGACTCAAAGTTCAATCAAACATTCAAAGTTCATCATCAAATAGAAATAATAACTCTAACATTCGAACAGATAGAAATTTAAAGTTCAATCCAACATCAAACATGAAGCAAAGTAATCCATCCAACATCAAACATAAAGCAAACATAAATTAGTCTTAACATAAAGCAAACATAGAGGCTTAATTCAAACATGAAGAAACTAGAGAGTAGAAATGAGTTGCTTGCCTAGGGTTAGATATTAAAGGGGCAAGTTAGAGCGCGGGTTAAGTTGGGGTGTGCGGGCCATTATAGGCTCAACCCACACCCCGCCCCAAAACTTCGGGCCAGACATTGTATGGGCCGAAAAAAAAATTTAATACTAAAAAGAGAGAAAGAGGAAAATATGCCAAGACTTGAGATGAATTAAAATTAATAGGCCAATAGTTTACATAAGTTAATAAATAGGCAAAATTACTGTTTACGTCCATAATTTGTCTGGTTATGAACCATAACTTGACAAGTTATTGTCCATAATTCACGATTTTTGTCCATAACTTGTCTGGTTATGAACCATAACTTGACAAGTTATTGTCCATAATTCACGATTTTTGTCCATAACTTGTCTGGTTATGAACCATAACTTGACAAGTTATGGCCTATTAATTTCTATAACTAAAAGTTAGCCTATATACTTCCTTAAGCTTTTCATATTGGCCTACTTTTTACTATTTCCGTACTAAAAATTACATTTTTTAAGTTGGGTTGAGTCTACAAATTTTACGGATTTATGAACAGCCATACAAACTGAAATCCCACTCCACTCCACCGCATGCCATTTGATCTAGTGGTCGTTAGCACTAGTTAAAGTAATTTGTGAGTTTTAAATTAGCTGTTTGTTTTGTAATTTATTTTAATTTAATAAATGGTGATTTAGAATCTTGGGCTTTTACTTTTCTTCCTCTAGTGAGTAAAAACTCTCAAACAAGTCCTTAGTATCACTTGAGAAGCTCCATGAGCTTTCTCCTCTTCATTCCTGAATTTGATTAACGTAACTAATCAAGTGATCTTATATGGCAAGAGTAAAGAGAATGGTTTGCCGGGAGAAAATACATGATGACTGTACTTATACAGGACTATTCAAGGCAGTTGTTGTCAATCAAAGGTCTCCATCTTAATTTCTTCATCTATTTTCTTTTTTTAATAAAATAGGAAAAGCCAAAACAAACGAAAGCAAAAATAAAATATTTGGGGGGTTCACCAATCATTCTCAAAAAAAAAAAAAAAGAAAAAGAAAAAAGATCATACTTAATTTTCCTTTTAGACAAACAAGTGAAATTCCCATTATTTCTGGCTTTGCAAAACTGAAGAAACGCAGCCACAGTGAATATCCAACCTTCCCATAAAACCAACCATGTTGTCGTTTCATGGTAAGGAGGCTCTCATCAACCCCACTTGGCATTAACTGATTGATCAATGTATAACAGCCTCAAACGTAATATCTCTCACACTCAATTCTAACTATAAATTTTGGTTTAACCCCAGCAAAATTTGTGTTGTGCCAAAGAGAAATCAGAGAGAGAGAGAGAGAGAGAGAGAGAGAGCTTGTGACAAGGAGAGTAAGAGTGAGAAAAAAACCAGAGCGTTTGATATCATAAAAAGAACACACTTTTAAGAGAAAATGGCCTCTGCTTCTCTTTTCAAGTCAGCACCAGTTCTTGACAAGCCTGAGTTTGTGAAGGGTGGTCAGTCTCTTCACCAACCTTCAGTTTCTGTTGTTCGTTTCCAACCCGTCTCACCTTCTTCACTCACTGTCCGCGCCTCTTCATATGCCGATGAACTTGTCAAGACCGCGGTATGTTCACGTGAAACTTTAACTTAGGATGTTCGAATTTATAACTCATACTAGTCAAATTTAGTAAATTGTTGATTACTTTTAACATGAAATAAAACTATTTTCTATTTTTGAATGGGGTATAGAAAACTATTGCATCTCCGGGGCGTGGAATCCTGGCCATGGATGAGTCGAACGCCACCTGTGGGAAGAGACTGGCCTCGATCGGTCTAGAGAATTCTGAGGCTAACCGCCAGGCATACAGGACTCTTCTTGTTACAGCTCCCGGGCTTGGCCAGTACATCTCAGGTGCTATCCTCTTTGAGGAGACACTATACCAATCAACAACTGATGGCAGGAAAATTGTCGATGTGCTCACCGAGCAAAACATAGTTCCTGGTATTAAGGTTGACAAGGTAAGCCAAAACACGTGTCAGTGCATCAAATCCGCCTTTTCTAATAACTTTTTATCACTTAGAAAAGGCGACACATTATCGATAACGATGAATAGCAGTGCTAAAGAGAAAAGGTTATCCATATGTGTGTATTTATGTAATGTTTGTAAAGGTTTTTGTTAAGCAATAGCTGGATGCTAAATATTGCAGGGTTTGGTTCCTCTAGCTGGTTCAAACAATGAGTCATGGTGCCAAGGTCTTGATGGAGTTGCCTCTCGCTCTGCTGCTTACTACCAACAAGGAGCTCGTTTTGCCAAATGGTAAGAAATAAAATAACAATATTTCTATAAAAATAACACATAAAAAAAAAAAAATATATATATATATATATATATATATACATATCCCTCTACTTGCTCACTGACTAGCAAATTATGTGCATTAAGAGTAGAAAAATTGACCCTTTTTTGACTGATCAAAGAATGAATTATCATACGCCTTTTTCCTAATCTATTTGTGATTAATCAGGCGTACAGTGGTTAGCATTCCAAATGGACCATCTGCCCTGGCTGTTAAGGAAGCTGCCTGGGGTTTGGCTCGCTATGCTGCCATCTCTCAGGTATGATGGCTATTGAATAACACAGTTTGTGCACTTTGAGTGAGCCGTTCACTTCGCTGATTCGAGTTGAGATGTGATTTTGTGTGAGGGCTTTTTACTGTAGCAAAAAGTTAAATGTGACTGTTTCTGAGAGTTTTTTACTGTAGTAAAACTCTAATTCTAAACTCGAATCGGCGAAATGAACGGGACCAGATGACTAGTTTGTTTGCTGAAAAGTTTGCTATGTGGTGTTTTTTAGGACAATGGTTTGGTGCCAATTGTTGAGCCTGAGATCTTGCTTGATGGTGACCATGGGATTGATAGGACCTTTGAAGTAGCTCAAAAGGTTTGGGCTGAGGTGTTCTTCTACCTGGCTGAAAACAATGTCGCCTTTGAGGGAATTCTTCTCAAGCCCAGCATGGTCACTCCTGGTGCCGAGAGCAAGGACAAGGCCACACCGCATCAGGTCGCTGACTACACCCTCAGACTCCTCAGGCAAAGAATCCCCCCTGCTGTCCCCGGAATCATGGCAAGCACTCGAAACTCGATACTGAGGTTACATGTAGGAAATAACAAATTAATGTGCTGTGTGGTACTAATGTTTTCTTGAATTGGTTTCGGTTGAGCAGTTCTTGTCAGGTGGGCAATCTGAGGTAGAGGCAACCTTGAACTTGAACGCGATGAACCAAGCTCCCAACCCGTGGCACGTCTCGTTCTCGTACGCAAGAGCACTTCAAAACACTTGCCTCAAGACGTGGGGAGGCAGACCTGAGAACGTCAAGGCAGCTCAGGAGGCCCTGATTGTCCGGGCAAAGGCCAACTCTCTTGCTCAGCTTGGTAAATACACCGGCGAGGGAGAGTCGGATGAGGCCAAGCAAGGCATGTTTGTTAAGGGCTACGTTTACTAAGCTGTTTCTTCACTCCAAATTCTTCTGTAGATGTGTGCCGTGAGAATATGACAAAGTAGTGAAAACTTATCGTCTCTGTCCAAGTTCTTTGTGGAGATTATTTTTGGGCCTTAAAGTTGTAATATTAGTTATCTAATAAATTAATCTCCTGGCAATTGATGCTGTTGATAATACAATCGTGATTAATTGTGCTTGGAATTAAAAAGGAAAAACAAGACTTCATAAATCGAAGGCTTTATATTGTACATAACAAGAAAGGTCAAGTCGTGGCAATATCCTTCACCTTCACGGATTCGTAATAAAAGCATCCATTAAGAAGGTAATAGCGGAGACTGAAGTTAGTTGAGCAATCAATTATACAATTTCTTGTACATAAAACAAGATATAAATATCTTACATAAAACCCTTTTCTGTGTCATGGCACTGAGACAACCACAAGTCTATGTTCTCTATTATCTGTTGCCTTACTTTGTGAACTGCGTCGGGAGAGCTGCAATTCTGGGCGTTGCCTGAAAAAGAAGATAGCGATTTCAGTGTTGAAAGAGAGGGAAAATACATACATATAGTAAATCTTCTATATGGTTCGATTGATTTGAGAAACAAAAAAACTTCTATATCCTATCTATCATACCTTCAAGGCTTAGAGGACTTTGGGGGCAGCCTCGCAAATCAGTTCCATGGCCACAATTATTACAAGTGATGAGGTAGGAAGGCACTGAAAAGTTAAAAGGGCATTTGAGTACAGCAAACCAAATTGATTCAAATTAAATCAAAAGAAAAATCCCAATACATGAGGATAATAAGGTAAACAAATTCTTCCTAAAGCACAAGAAGACTCACGATCTGGAGATGAAGTCTGCTTTGACGCATGACGCCACGGATCCTGTGAGCCATTTGTAAATATTATCTTTGTCCCTGCAGATTTTAACGGTTTCATAAGCTCATGTCGATTATAGGGAAAAACATTGATGGTGGTCTTAGTCACAGCAATACACAGCAAGATCAAGGCAGGAAAATAAGTAGAACTCACTTTCAGCCATCAGGCAAGCAATAAATCATAGAATAAAAACAAACAAACAAACAACAAACGACCAGGGAGGCAGAAGACAAGTAAACAAAATTCTTTACTATAAATCTATAATGCAGGCTGCAAGGCTCTTGCTGGTAACGTGGAAAAGGACAGGACTATATATATATATATATTAATATATATATATATATATATAATATGCATATGTACACACTGCACACACACACACACACACAAATATGGAAAGAGCAGTTCTTTTGGACCTCCAATTTTTGTGCCCCCGTAGTATAAATTTGTTGCATCAACATCAGGGTAGATGCCCTCTCCAAAGACATTCCGACAAAGATCCAAATGGTATCTGCCACAAAAGACAAGTTACTTGAGATTCATAAAGAGTGTTCAAAACCAAACACAGTAGTCTTTTCTTAAAAGAAGATTCCGATTATTGCAAAAAGAAGTAGAATCACACATAAAAGGGTGTAGATTAAAACATAGCTTCCAGAACATGCCTTGTGTCAACTTTTGAAGACCGGATGCTATCATTTTTAGGTGCCACCTGAAAGTATGCAACTTCAGTACAAACTTGGAACCACCACAACCGCGCAGAATTATCATCAGTAAGAGTAGTGTTTTTCAGGAACTTCTGATCATATGTCCGAACATCTGTGCCAAATTTTACGATGTAATATTCTTTGACATACTTGGCATAAGTATCCTGCATTAAAAGTACATATCATTCTGATAAGCCTCCGATCCTTTTTACATTATGCTTGGAAGTTAAGGAGGGCAAGCTAGGGCTTTAGGGTGTTTGTTCAGTTTTGTTATGTTATTTTTGACAGGTCTGTGATGTGTAATGTGCTATGTGCTGGTGCAGGTGATTTAGTGTGTCTGTAATTGTGAAGGTAACCTTCAAAAAAGAAATAATTGTGAAGGTAAAATAACAAAAATAACAAAAAAAAGAGTATAAACAGTTAGTTGACAGTTAGTTAGAGACTAGGTTGAGTTTTCGGGTGTAATTCTAGGACAATCCAAGAGGAGGAGAGAGGTAGAACTCTCAAATTTCTACCATTGTTAGAGCTTGACTTGATTTAGTCAATCAATTGTAAAGATTGATTATTCAGTAAAGCATTTGATTTCTTTGATTCTACAGTGTTCAGTTTAGGGTTATATCACATTCCACAAATATAAACATCATGACCACCATAGGCTTTTCAACTCTTAACATCTTAAATACCTTCTAAATTTTCCATCAATAATCTTGCGAGACATTTCGATCATAACTACAGGTTACATGGCCTAGTAAGGAAATCAATATAGACATTTATTTTACCTTAAAGAAAAGTATAGAAATGTATTTAACATTATTATCAATTGTTTGATTTTAAAAGCACAAGACTTGCTGGTTGGTAAATAAATTATCTGGTACCCTAGCAAATTCATGCTCTACTGTAAAGAATGTCTGAAAGAAATAACTAGAACAATGGCTAGAAAAGATCATACCACCAAATAACTATAACAATGGCTAGAAAAGAGCATACCACCAAATCCTCTCCGTTCTTCTTTGCTTCAACAAGGGGGGTGCATACTGAATCCGGATTTCCATATTGAAACTGCATAGATTAAACACATAATAATGATCAACAACAAAATTTGTTAACAAAAAACACCAAAAGCAACAACCTACCCCTATAGCAGCAGCATCCGCCAGAAAATAAAAGAAATCTCCGTCGATCTCGAGCTACAAACACAAGCAAAAACACTTATCAGTTTTCATCTGACTACGATTCTCACATATGTAACATAGTAAAAAATGAAATGGGTAAGCAAACCTCGGCTGCGCCGAACAAAGCCTTGACCGATTTTCCTTCGTTAGCAAGCCTTTCTTCGACGAGGTGAGTGACCTCTTGCAAGGCTGATTTACATTCTGGACCAGCTGAGACACCAATCTGCATTAACAATTTAACAAAAAATCAATGAAGCTTTTTATCTAACCAATGACAAAATAAACACCAATTAAGAGAAAAGGAAAGGAAAAACTAAGTGGATGGCCGATTTTGGCAACCCCTTTTAAATCAATGGCCTAACCCGATAAATTATTGATTGAAATTGAAATAAATCATCAAGTCAGTCAATGATACACCACCAATCAATAGTGATAAATCGGTGTATCATTGATTTACCAGGTTTATCACTGATAAATGGCCAGTTCCCAGTTTAACAAAACTTCAACCATTTACTAAAAATAGCTCAAAAAACGGTCATTTTGCAAGTATCTCAAAAATCCAACTAGGTAGACTAACTAATCAATATTTAGAACCTGCTGGTCAAATTCGGTGAAATTATAAACAGCAAGAACAACGGCAGAACTCGCGAGACTCCCACATGTTAAATGAGGGAATTTGAGACGAAACCACGCGCTAAGAGCCCCAGGATATGAAACGCCAAAGAAAAACCATGGATTTTCCACATTTTTTCGATTCAGCTTCTGCTCCAAAGACTCCTATAAAATTTGAAAAACAAAAAATTTGATGTGATTTTTTTACCGTAAAATTGAGAGGAAAATTGTAAAATTCTCAGCAAATTCATCGATTCGAAAGAGATAATTGCCTGGTAATATCGACGAAACGCAGCGAGATCGAAAAGAGCCTGCTTTGAAGACAAGAACTTGAGATTCTCAGTGGTCAACGATTTGAATGGAGAACTTTTTCCGTAGTAGCGATGCTCCAGTGACACTATAGCTGCTCCGAACTTCTTCGACAAAATCTGCACAATGTGAACGCCGTTTTCACTCACCTCTTTTCTTCTTAGCATAACAAAAAAAAAAATCAATTTCTGATCAGAAAAATTGAAAACCTACGCTAAGATAATCGTTCTGTATTCCATTGCAAGGTCCTTCGCCGCAGATTTTGAGGAAGATCGGTCCTTCTGGAATCCGAAAATTGTCGAGGAATTCGTAGTAACGCTGCTGAAATTGACGGTGATCCTGCACTTTCCACACAAATAATTCGATTTTCAAACAGAATCAAAGGAATTTGTAGCGAGAGAGAGAGAGAGAGAGTTTGCGTACGTAAGGAGAGTAGTGATCGAGATTCTGAGTAAACCAGAGCTCCTTGGTGGTCAAGTAGTTGCCTGCGGCGGTCAAGCGGTTGAGCATGGAACGGGGAGGCATTCCGTAGCCATAGCCAAAGCTTGAGAAGAGAGTGGAGATCACCAGAGGAACCACAAAAAACGACGTCGTTTTCCAGCTCTGCGCCATGTCGTTCGTCCCCGTTTATCACCTCTGTTGTCCCTTTTTCTCTGTAATTCACTTCACTTCAAGTTCCGACCAGAAAACACGGAGAATTCAACGCCTCCCTGCCTGCCCACGTTTTCCACGTGTTTGTTTTTTTATGGTTCATTCCTTATCTGGGACAAACTTTGTATTGCCTTTTAAGCTATAAAAATACGTTTATTGAGCAAAAAAGAGTACAAAATTGTATTTGTTAGCTGAATCAATTCTAGAGAAGAGGAAAAAAAAAAAAAAAAGAGAGAGTTTTGGACCATCTCCGCCTAATCTTATCATGTTGTGACATTTTAGGCATTGTTCCCTTCGTGAATTCAAATTTTTAATTCGAGTTGAGATGTGACATTTTCTTAGAGCTTTTCACTGTAACAGAAAAAATTAGATGTGACATTTTTTGAGAACTTTTTACTGTAAAAACTTAAAATTAAAAACTCGAATCGGTGAAATGAATGAGACTTTACTCTCTAAAAACAAAATTTTAATAATTGACTCCTTAAATTTGATAATATGTGCCACCCAATTGGTCCAATGTCTAAACAAGGTCCATCAAATAGAGTGTAAATTAGGTCGAATAATAGTCATTCGCTCATACTATTTTATGTGTAAATGGGCTTATTTTTTTTAATATATTTTTCAAATACCAATTCTAGGGTTGTTTGTGTGTCGGTAACCTCCGATATTTGTCACTTTATGTATGTATTTTTTTAGGGATAATGTTTTTCAAGTAATGTTTCTTTTTATAATTTAATAGGTGTATTTCTTTGCTCAAAAAGAGAAGTTTACCATTTTATTTGAAGTCGAGCAATAAGAAGAGGAGTGAGAGTTTTTGTAGTATATACTAGTGGAATATACGTGTAGTTGCACGGATAATAATTTAATATATATTTAATTTAAATAAAAAAAAATGTATAGAAAAGATATTCAAAAGTTTGTAGATAACATGATACATAGTAAAAGTTTGTTTATAAGTCGCTGTTAACTTTAACTTGTAACACATATATACATATTTATTTACATGTCTATTTCTGTAAATAAAAATATACATATTTATTTATAGCTATACACATGTTTATTCACATATTTATTCTTTTTTATTTTTACTTGTTGTTTTTTCTGAGCTGCAGTTAAGGAAAGTAGAGAGAACAAAACAGTTATTATTAAATTATAATCGATGTTAATAATTGTGTTTATATTTACTAAAATATTTAATATAATACATCATAACACATAATATTACCTAATTTGTTTTTTTTTTTTTGACAAACTTACGAAGGAGGTAGATTCGCTTGGGACTGGAATGGGCTAAATTGGCTACGAAACTGATGTGGTTTCTTTTGAAGATGCAGTTGTTGTAAGGTACAACTGAGGTTGATCATGTTAAAAGTTTTTAAAACAACTTTATCGATAAAAACACTTCGAGTACGAAATTGTATAACAAATATTTTTGATATTCCTCGTATTTATTCTAAAATAGGAAGAATCATGTAGCGATTAGTGTACCACTCATCGTAAATAAGTGCAAAACAAACTTTGTTAATAAGATATTGCACTGTTTTACCGAACATTACAACGTTTGTTTTAATGAAACCTAGAAGCCTCACGGAAAGGAAGAGAGAGTAAAAAAAATGCACATAAATGATGAAGTCTAGAAGCTTTACGGAAAGGACGAGCAGAAATTATAAAAACACCCAACGAAAAAATTCAGAGGGACACTGTTCAAAGAACAGTAAATCTACTACCTCTTTTAGTAGTATGTATAATATGAATATGATCTAGTCCTAGAACTTAGCACCTTATTGACTTATATTTTTGTTTTTCTTTCTTTAGGGGGGAATGAAAAATGCTAAAAAAAAAAAAAAGAAACCGAGTTTTTTATATTTTGACAATTTTCCCTTAAATATTTAATTTTAACACTTTACCCTATCAATTTGCAAAATCGTTGCAAACTATCACTTGCACCTGTTTAGTTAGGGCACAAAAAAGCCAACGACCATTTCACCTTGAAGAAAAAGATCCCCGTACCAAATCAAAGCCTTATACAAATAACTCAATTCCTTAAATCAATCCCCAAATCTGACTCCAAAAAGGTAAAAATGCGACACATTACAATGACTTAGCAAGTTGAGGGGATAAAATTTTAGGGGACAAAACTACGAAAACCTGGAACCTGATTTTTTTTTTTTTAAAAAAAAGTGGATTATTTGTTAAAGCTTTGGGTGGCGATTGGCACTTCAAAAAGAATCCTAATTTTGGCCTTTAAGAGCACCAACAAAAATGTGGAAAGCAAATCAAAACTGAGAAGTGAGTACTATAGGCATTCGATTATATCTCAATTTTCAAAAGTAAATTGAAAAGCTATCAAACTACCAACTTTGCACAAGTAAAGCTACAACAAATGGAAAAAACATCACTCTCCAAAAGCCTCTAGGACCATTACTTGCAGTTCACTTGAACAAGCACCTAAACCGAATTTATTTGACGATACATAGCTCGACCGCTTTAATTTTGTCGCAAAAACCGCTGCTTCGAGATGATACAACTTCTCATTGATCCTGGAAACAAAAATTCCCAGCTTTTTGTTAGACAATGATCTGGTGGGCAATCAAAAGCTTACACCACATGTTTGTAGTGTGTTAACTCTTCTGGTTAAGCTTGTGGAAATGAAATGGTTTCTTCAGGAATAGACATGATGAGAAATGTTAAATGCATTCGCGAGCGTCACTATTGCATAATCTAGGTTCTTTGTTCAAGCGCGGCCTATAGAAACCAACGCTAGATCGTGCACTAGAGACACTCGCAAGTGGATTTAGCAATTCCTCTAGACATGATTTAACTCTAAAAATTGTTTACTTTTTTAGATCATCTTTGAAGCCGAAAGAATCGAGTACAAATGTATAATCATAATTGAAGTTTGGGAACTCATGAATTACAAATTAGGAAATAGGAACTACACCACAATTCTTCTTTTTTTTTGGGCATTTTACGATCAATTAAGGTCACGTGTGAGATTTTCTCTTCAACAAAGCAAATAGGTCCCGGTTTGGCTTCTGTTGACAAAGACTGCAGTGTGAGTTGCTAATGAAAACACGAGCAAAAGGGAACTATGTTTGTCATGTGTCCTTATAAAATGCAAGAATGAACAACCCTTCTCTTCTTCTGTGACAAAGATTATGCACTTCCCTATATTTCTTAGTCTACTACTTTAAAGTCAAAAGAAAAAAGAAAAAAGAAAAGAAAAGAATCAAGCCTTCTCTTACATGAATTTTTATTCACTTGGTACAAAAAACACAATGACTAAGCAAGTCTTACCTGATCATTTGGAGATTGCTCATGCAACTTGTGAGGCTTCATATTTAGATCAATCAATTTAGTATCTCTCTTGGAATGCCCATCAGCATTGTTGGCCTCCAATATCCAAACAGGAGAAACCGCGTGATTTTGCTGGTTCTCTTCCGCCACCATTTTGGGAGGAGCCAGGTTTTGACCTCTTCTTGCCTCATCTCGCTCTGCGGGTTGGGATGCTGGTTCCTCAGGATTACCAGGCTTGTCCCCTGGAAACTATAGAGCAAGTAAGTGTTAAAAACTATCCCATATAGGATCAAATAAAATCAGGAACGATTTGATAAAGAAATTTGTTCAAAAACGTGGAAAAAATGTGACAGAAGGTGCAAATCAAGACAATATTCAAAGTTTTGGGGCTACAAATATTGCAAACTGAAGTTCGGGATCGAAGCAAAACCGACCCTAGTTCAAGGATTGGAGTAAAATTAATCCAAGAAAATCTAACTCTTCATCAGATAAGATGGACAAACCTCAACTCTCTGCCTCAAGAGTAGATATCTTCCATGTGTTCTTTTGCCTCCAACATGAACGATCATATCACATTGCAAACAAAGGGAACTTCCATCTATCTCGCAATAAAAGAAAGCTACAAAAGCAATTTCCAAGAGCAGAAAAAAAAAAAAAAATCAGAGCGTGAAATTTTCTCTACCAACAAGACGCGATCCTTATATATTGAGAAGAAGTACGTGTTATAAAAAAGAAAAATGCTAAGTCAAACTAGTGAAAGGCTCATCATGAGGTGACATGTGAATATGTGATTGGCTACATCCGATGGTGCACAAAGAAGATTAGCACGCATACCAGGTGCATTTTCGCAAATGTCGCACTGAGGAACGGCGCTGGGATCAGCCAGGCCAACTCTAACGTGCCGGCTAGCAAGTTTGTTGCACATGTGGACCTGGCATTCCCATCAAAAAGTGAGGATTGCTATAAGATTTCAAGCACACCAAATCTAAAAGCATGGAATTATCATGACTTTCATAAGCCTTTCACCATAAGAGAACCATTATTTCACCCAACAAATGCAAGTAACTAAAAAAAAAATAAAAAAAAAAAAGCTATTTCAAGATTCACTCTATTCTAAATTGCTCAACCAGGATAAAAATGGCAATCCAAGACCTTTGAAGAATTATTGTATACCACTTTTTCAACAAAAACATGTGCCGGGTCCAGTTTATTCACCACCACACCACACAACACAAACACAAATAAGATTTTCTTCCCTTTTTTTTTTTTCTCTTTTAATGCCAAGAGAGTAATTTTTATTATTTTCTTCTTCCCTTCAAAATCCTTAAAATTCGTTTAACAAAACAATCTCATACTCTACATCAAACCAACATTGAAAAAGGCAAGTTAATATTTACACCACCAAGTGGTGAAAGCAGAAACAAGTCCCAAAAGAAGAAAAAAAAAAAAAAAAAAAAAAAAAAAAAAAAAAAAAAGAATGAAAAAGGTTGTTTCTTTGGATTCTACTCATTGAAATACCAAATGGGTAAATCAAAAAACACATATTGAAATACCAAACGGGTAAATCAAAACACACACACACACACACACACACATATATATATATATATGCACATATATGTAGTTAACATACCTTTTCATCGCAGGCACGGCAAAGAGCAGCCTCGTCAGCAGCACAAAACACGATCGCGGCAGCGCTTTCACAAGCGTCACAAAGTGTTCGCATAATTAATAATAATACTAAACAACCTTCCTGTTCGCATAATTACTAATAATACTAATAAACAACCTTTCCAATCTTCTCATTTCTCCAAATGAAAATAACACAAAAATATAAATGAATCTCTCATTTGAGATTCCCACATCAAAAAAATGTCATCGGCACCAAAAACCAAAACCAAAACCCAGTTCACGGAAAAAAAAAAAAAAATCTCAAACAGCTAAGTGCTATTTGTCTTTGTGCTTTGTTGGTGGTTGGTTGGGCTAGTGATGAGATGATGGAGAAGGACTACGATTAGAAAAGAATAAGGATAAACAAAAAAAAATAAATAAATAATAATAATAGAAGTAGTTGTAATAAATAAAATAATAAGTAAGGGGAAAAAATTGATAATGAGTTTAGATTTTTTTTTTTTTTTTTTTTTTTTTTGGGTGTTGTGGTGGGGACAAGAGTAGATTCGAGAAGTCATGCTTAATATATGGAATTTGGTAAGCAAAAAGACATATAATAAGTGAGAGATGTGGGGGGGTTTTGTCAAACTTTAGTTTTCCACAACCTCACTCCGTGGCCACAAGTTTCAAAAGCAATTGTGGGGTTGACATTTGACAATGCCTCCCAAGCAATTCTCACCCATTACTTACATATCTGCCGTGGGTCCCATCTCATTTTGTTTAACTAGCCAGCTACCTCTGGAGGAGGTTGGCCATTTTTTGTTTCTGTTCTAGTGTTCTGTTGTTATTTATTTGGAGAATTCCCAAAAAAAAAAAAAAAAAAAAAAAAAGGCAAACCTTATTTGTGGTAAGGGTAAAATATCTAGTCACACATCATTTAAACACAAACATAATCACGGTCATAGAAGAATATTAAACTACTCCACTTAAATAGGTTAATCTTTTAAGATAAAAGCTCAATACTTTATAAAGTGTAATTATTCTCTCTCACTTTTTTTCTCATCTCTCCCCAAAACTCTAATATGATATTAGAGTTCATTGTTCAAACGAGTTGGGTTAATCCATCAAAATATAAGATAGGTGATTCCTAACAGAGCATCATCTTGCGGGGCATATTAAGGATAAAATATCCGAGCTCCACACCTTCTAAATACAAACATAATCATAGTCATATAAGCGATATTGAGTCAACACACTTAAATCGGTTTAACTTTTTAAGATGAAAGCTCAATTATTATAAGTATTAATAGTTAAATCATATCATAATTATTTTAAAAAAATACATTTAATAAAATTTAGCATATAGTATTGTAATTATATTAAAGATAAAAAAATTTAATGAAAATTAACAATAAAGAACAATGCGATATTGATAAGGCATTTTTTATTATGTAAATTTTTTTCATAAAAATAATTATATATTTTTTTTCTTTCTTTTGAGCTTTGCCGTCCACAAAGGAATCTCATTGTTCGACCCACATAACATGATCTCTACCTAATTGGTTTGCCAAGATTATCTGATGGGACGACTACACAGTAGATCCCCCGCCACTCACCATTAATCTCGTTAGTCTTTGGTGATATTATTTTTTAAAAACAAAATAAATCCAATAAAAGGTTCAATTTTTGTGAAGGATTTATTCTCCACGTGCTTTTTTCAACGGACAAAATTGTTTGTTTCATTTTAATAATGGATGCTCATGGTATTGTTGACTAATCCTAATTCCTCGTATATCCCAAATCAAACTTATTTAGGTCTTTTTAGTTCAAGGTCGTCCCAAGTCATCCGCCAGGGGAAAAAAAATGTTGCTTGATCATTAAAACGATTAAAACGACATGTCGTCTCCATGTCAAACATCTGAACACCTTAGTTTGCATTAATCGAATGAAATTGATACATAAAACGCATGAAAGGAAAACTGAAAACGCCATTTAGAATACTCTCGCAAAAAAAAAAAAAAAAAAAAAAAAGACACGTTGTTCATATTACGAAAAGCTACATGTCGTTTGCAAGAGGAAAAGTGTGGTTTTTACTTTTTACCGAAATCACAGGTCTCTTTTTTTTTTTATTATTAGGATTAATTTTAAAAATTCTCCCTCAGTTATGACCTCTGTAACATTTTATCTCTTGAATTTTAAAACGTAACATCTGTTCTTTCTGAATTTTATTCTGTTAACAATTTTACCCCTTCTATTACACTGAGTGACGAAATTCACCACGTGTCTATTATTTAACCCATCTGAGGAGGGTAATATCGTAAAATATCCTATAAAATCTCAGGTTATTAAAAAATGGATTAAAAGGCATCAGTTTATCAGGTTATTAAAAAAAATTAAGATTTGCTCCAAAAACATTTCGAAATTCGCTGCTATTTAGATATTAAAGAATTGACAAATATACCTTTCTCTTAATTAGTAGAAATATGAACAAGATCGATAAATAGAAGTTGTCACGCATCTGGATTTCATTTTTCTTTTCCTCACTTTTCATCCCTTATGGGTTTTGTATTGGCTTTGGGCATTTCATATGGGTTTGCTTGAACGAAGCCACTATTTAAGGGAAAAATTAAAGAAAAAAAAAAAGAGAAAAAAAAACTCATCTCTTCCTTTGAAGAGATTGGCTGGGTACTTTTTTTCGAATGAATGGGTTTTAGATCTATTAATGGATTAATATTTTACATTGCACATAGTTCAACTTTACAGATAATACACGAAACCCATAAGTAATAGTTCAACTTAATAATATTGATGATGATAAAGAAAAAAATCTAGATATTGGGGTCTCGTCGAACGCATGTTGACCTCTGTGAGTGGTGTTGCCGAAGAAGATGACTGTTATGGCTTCGACATTGGTGCCCAAACCATTCGCGTTCGCCTTTACTCACACCAGCTCCACGCAATCTGAGAGCAAAGTCAGAGTCGGCGATGGCGGTACCGGAAGAGGTGGAAATGGGTTTTAACGTTTTGGAAATTTTTCGGATCTCTCCCCTAGAATATAATTTTTGAGAGGAATTATAAGATATAGTTTTGAATAAACTGATGCAATAATGCCTCTTCTGTTATCAATGATTCTGAACAAAGATGGGTATAAGCGTAATTTTACTTTTAAATTTCACTAAATAATAAACACGTGATAAATTATGTCACTTAATGTAATGAAAAGGGCAAAATTATTAATGTAACAAAATTTGAAAGAATCAGATATTACGTTGTAAAAGAGAGAATTTTTGAAATTAATCCTTATTGTTATTTTTTGGGCTAAAGTAACCACAGATCATTCCTTGGAACCATCCAAAGAGAAACGACGTGTCATTTTTGTGCAGCGTGCCACACGACATATGCAACAAATGACGTGTCGTTAACTCTCCAATCATAATAAACGATATGCGTTTTTCTTGACGGACTAAAAATGACACGCATTCAGTACCGTTACCTTGTTTGTTTAAAATGAAATGTCGTACGAATTTCAGGTAAAGTGACGACATGCAGGGGAAACAGGTTTTTTTTTTTTTTTTTTTTTGACATTAAACAATATATGTTATCTTTCGTTCAAGGCAATATGGTTTTATTTTTATAGACAAAAAAGAACATCATAGATTTTATTGCATACATATTGATACTTTTACTCACTTATCCTAACAAAAAATTAAATAGGAAAATAAAACCATAATCTTAAAAGCGTAATTTAACTCTTGTACTAAAATAGGGGATGAACTAAATTTTTCCGTACTCACTAAAAATTTTCTTGTAGTTTTACTTCAAAAAAAAAAAAATTATATTATTTGCTAGATTAGATACAAAAGCAATATGACAATGGTTACGTAATTTTGTCTGTATTTTCCCCAGCAGTTTGAATACAATTGTAGCAGCTAGGAAATTCGCCTTTTATGTCCGTATGGAAATATTGGTCTAAACAATTACGTAAACTTGACATCTTAGATTATAGCACAAAACCAAAGTTGAGCAACTTCCACACAGCTTCTGCTAGACCCAAGTGGGTATCCTAAATGTTGTCTCAATCATGCATTATTTTTTGTTCATGAATTCAGAACTATTCTCGATTTATGTGTATTTTTTATGAGAAAAAATACTATAACAAACTATAAACCATGATTCGAATCAGACTACGAATCCACCACCCAAACAAATTTGAAAACCCATATCTTAACCATTTGCCCCCAAATGTAGAGCCTAAGTTTCCGTACAATTGGCCCCGTTATTTACACACACACACTCACAAATTTGGTGGGTAGGTTCAACCCACCAACTAATTTTCTAAAACTGCCACACCTGCCAAAAAAGACGGGTGGGTTGGGCGAATCGCACGATCTACTTCGTCCGTTAAAATGTACTCTCATCATCGTCCTTCTTGCATACTTTTATTTAAGTATGCATTCTTTTTGTATCTCCTCATTTAAAAATAAGAAGTCATTGCATGATAAAATTTGATAAATTAAATCTAAACGTGATCAAGTTCGAATCAAATTAGCAAAAGAGAAAAAGTTACCAACTTCATATAATATTTTGAATTTTTGATGCAGGTAAAATGTATGATTCTACTATTTTTCAACTATATAGCACAAAAACATATTTCTAGCCGGAAAAGAAAAGAGTTACATATAGCAATAGAACTTTGAGAAGCAAATATATAACATTCTTTCAACAAGTTGGACATAATTATCAACAGCCACACATTCGCTTGAAATGTTGTATTTATAGCACACATTAGGACCCGATATTACCTATACCGTAAACGGGCATTATTACAAGTAGCACAAAATCAATACAAACTTTTCCTTATGAGTATTAAACCAAGTACATCAAAATGACAATTATAATAAAGCGGAGTGGCCATGTAGAAATGCTAAAAGAGTTCTTTGAGTAGAGATCACAACCGACCAAAAGGCAAACTGAACTTGATTACTTCTCTCACTCTCTCGTTTTGGCCCTTTAATTAGGCTTGAAACCTAGAATGAGAAGTTCAACATGTCCATACTCAAGCTCTCCATCATCACATTCTCCATGAAACCACACTTGGTGATTGGAGCCTTCTTGAAGCTGCTTCCCCTAGGCTTGAAGGGGCAAGAGGAGAGAGGAAGGATCGGGATGTTCTCGCAGTTGCAAAGCTCGATCATGTAGCCGTCGGGGTCGTGGAAGAAAACTTGGTCCACCTTTATTCCGTCATCAGCCTCCACCAGCGCTGTCACGTACCTCATTCCCATCTCTTGTAGCCTCCTCTTCACTAGCCCAACGTCAGTGCACTGTTTCAACACGAACTTCTTTTTAGTCACGGCCAAATTTGATTAGACATCGTTTGGTAACATTCATATTGCGTGTGTTTTATTGTTAGTATTCATGTTGCTCGATAATTATTGATTTTTTTTTAGTTACGTTTTTCCTAAATTTCGTAATGATAATAGTGATTATGATTCTTACTTGGAAAGAGATGTGGTTGTCCTTGGGATTAATTGGTCTTGGTTCATTCATAGTGTCATACTCATCCACTAGTGCCGGATTCTCAATCAAGTGTATCCCAATTCCATAGTTGTACAACCTATATATATATATATATATACACATCACAAAGTTAGATAGAGAAATATAATTTTTTTTTTATGAATAACAAATCATTTCAATTTCACTTCAAACATGCATAAATATTTTTTGGAGAGAGAGAGAGAGAGAAAAAAAAAAAAAAAAAAGCTACATATACCAAGCTCCATTGAAGTTGAAAGAAGAAGGGCGTTTGATGAGAACAAAGCCCAAAACTTCTTCATAGAAACGAGTAGATTCCCAAACTGATCTGCATAGCAAAGAAACGTGATTTAAGGAGAGCAGAGGAAGTGCCTCGTAGTTGCTTACTTCCTCAATCTCCATCATATTTGCTCACTCTAAATTTGATATATTTCTATGTTCTTATGAGTGTGATAATATGCTTGAACTAAGTTAGGAATGTCCCTTTTTATAAAGCAAGATTGTGGAAATATATTCCTGTTTTAATTCAAATTTTGTTTGCCAATTTTCTTTGCTTGTGGGGGTGTAATTTCCTCATTGACGAACTTTCCTAGTAGATTCTCTCATACCAAATCAGACAAATAAAGTAGTCATTCTCACCCAACTATAACTACTCATTTTTCTTTTTCCCCCTTTTTTTTTTTTTTTGGTTGTAGTTGTGGGAGAAGTAATTCTTTGTTTATGCTAAATATGATTTTAGATTTAATAAAGTAGGCTAATCAGACATGGAGTAAATAGTAGTTAGGTAGTGTGTATAAGCTTGGGCCTAACTCAGCCCTCCTGAAGAAAGTTGCTGCCCAAAGCCTTCTAGGAGGAAGGTTTTTTTTTTTTTTTTAAGAGAAAATTAAAAATGCAATCATTAAATAATATTATTTTATTTTTATTACTGCTGTAAATTTATCTTATATCATTAATAACCTATAGGTTATTTTTTGTAATTTGCAGCTTATTTTTGATAATTTGTAAGTTATCTTTCATAACCTACAAGTTACACCTGAAATTTTTCTTACTTTTTTTTTTTATGAAATTTCAAGAGGAAGTTGTGATATGTCATCTGAGATTCTGAGTCTTCTTGGACCCAAAATGAGGGCTCGTTTGTTGTTTGGGTAATTTTTATAAATACCTCTTAAAATTGTATCATTAAAAATTTTTAAGTCTCAACATTGACCTATTGAATTTTGCCCATTTGGAGTAAGTAATTTGACAAATTATTATCAATAATTTGACAGATGTCACTAGCGGCAGGCGTACTTTAACATATTATTGTTTAAAATTTAACAAATTATTATCTATAATTTGACAGATTATTATCAAAGGGATAGCCTATCACAACAAAATAGTAGAACTCTAGAAGAATGTATTTAAGGGTCAATTTTTGTAATTTTCTCTTGTTTGTTGTTTTGTAACACTAGTGTGTTTTCTTGGACCCAAAATGAGGGCTCGTTTGGTTGTCTTGTAACACTAGTGTGTGTGTATGATATGTGTATATCTAGACGAGTTTTTAATAGTTATACTTCTATCATAGTTACCTATTAAATATATAAATTTGATTAGGTCGCGTGATAAAAATCAAACTTCATTAATAATTATAAATTTTGTTTGTTAAATACTCAATTTATTACAACTGTCACATCAATACTTTACAGTTAAAATAAAAATGCTCATTGATGGGTAATTATTGGAATAACCATATGTATATATTTATATTGATTTCCAAAATATTATTTGGTTATATTATTGTCTCTTGTTTCTTTTTTCCAAAAAATATTGAGGAATTCTCTTAAATAGCCATAAAGATTTATACCATTTTTTGAGAATTATTTTTGTGTTAAGTAGGTTGGCAGTTGGGCATAAATCAAGCCTGTTTATTTTCAAATTATTTGTGAAAACTTATTAATGGCTCATATATTAAATATGTGGATCTAGATCTATTTATTTTGTGTCATTTTTCTATCTCATTGTTATGCTATGTCTAAAATTACCGGCCTACATTATAAGAATTATATTATCAATTTCGAAAAGAAAGAATTTTAATTGTATTACATAGCTTAAAGAGATGGGTTAAATGGATAGATTCCCCAATTCTTTGAGACAATGGTAAATACGTATCAACGTATTTTTAAGTGAAGATGAAGAGGGGTTTTTTTTTTTCACAAATCCAAATAACCAAAATAGATTCTAGAAGACACTAACTTAGATTTTAGAATATCACAACTGATCAAATACTCTTCAAAATTACAAGTATTAACTAATCGATCTTTGTAATTAGAGCTACCATTAATAGCAGCTTAAGCAGATCTTTCAATATTAATTTGAAGAAATTTAGATATATCAAGCTCCTATCATATATATGTATGTATGTTTAAAAAATTAGCTACTAGTAAATTTGAACTAAAAACTATTTATTTTATTTTATTTTTTTATCAGATCTATGGGTTAAAAATGCACAATTCTCGTATAAAGATCATACTGTAGAAGGATCATGTACTTTTGGGTTCGGAAAAGTATGTTTGAGATTGACCACTGAATCCTGTGGGTCCAATTTGTGCTTGACAAAGTGTAGAACATTATTGTTTTTTTTTTTTGTTAACGACTATAGTTTTGCCATGCCCCTAGAAATGATAACAAAAGCCAAGATGTAATAACAAGTTCACAACCAATTTGTCATGAGCTCGGTTCTCACTATTAATACAAAGATTAATCCTGTTAAGTATAAACATTAAAGTAGTCACTAGAGCTGAAAATGCTGATTTTGATTGTGACTAAAATAAATACAACGTTTTGGCCCTTCAAAGTTTGTAGAGACAGGAAAGTTATATAAGGAGGTTCAAAAAATTTGAGAAACTTCTATGATGTTTCCTCTCCCCAACATGAAATTCACATCATGCAATTTATTTTTTATTTTTTCCCAGCAAACTCAATAATCCAAAAGTGACAGAAGAAACTCACCAAGGGGTTGAAAATCATATCCTTTTTTATTTTTTTCCTAGAACACTATACATACACTTTGTTAGGACTTAATTGTAAAAAATTTAAAAACATGTACTTTTGGCAATTGGCCTTTATTAAGAAGATTAGATGTGATTTTGGTTGCTTGATTGTTCCGAATATGGAATGTTTTTGTTGATGGAAATCAGATTTTAGAAGGAAATTTTATAGAAGATTTGATGCATCATGGAGATAGTAATATATTTGATGAGAGAGTTATTTAAGGAAAGAATATTAGACTTTGATTGTCTTAATGGTTGATTGTATTTTGGGTATGTGAGGAATTTGATTAGAGGCTTACCTTGCATGGCGTAGAAGAAATGGATGTAGTTGGCATTTAAAAATCATTATCATTAAGAGTTTTGTGATATAAAGGTGATGAGGTGGTAGAAATGGAAAGTAGAGTATGTGAGGAGTTGATTATTAGAGACCTACTTTGCATGTGAGAGTCCTTAGTTGGCGTGATAGAAATTATATCAATTTGTGAGTTGGAATTTGGTTGACCACCAAAATTGGAAAGGAGAATCTGAACCTAATTGGTATTTAAAACCAGATTCAATGTGGTGATAAGGTACAAGATTGTTGAGAGAAAATCTTAGAAATTCATTTGTAGTGAATCGAGGAGAAAAATATAGGTAATCGTGTGAAAGATTGAACATTATATTAAGGTTTTGTTTCAGCTCACTTTAGACCACGATTTTACAGAAAAATATTCAGAAAAAGTCTGCTCATTTGTGAGCCTTCAAGAGTGTTTGTTGAGTTCGTCCTTCGGGAGAAGAATTAAAAGCTTTCGGGATGAAGTACACTACCAACTGATGGGATTTCGCCATACAGTTTGAAGACGAGTGGTGCTTGCTGGACAATACCATTAAGGAGATTCGACACGGCAGTGACAACATCAAGTAGGGAGTTTTTAGGTGTATAAGTCAGATTGATGTTTGTAATCTTGAGACTTAATGGATTGTTCACTGTCTAGACGTGGCTCCATAAAAATAGGTGTGTACACCGAACTGGGATATTAATTCTTGGTGTTTATTATTTTTCTGCACATTTACTTTGATGTTTTTATACATAATCATTATAATTACTCACTAATATTACAAAAAGTGTTATAACACTCTTTATAATACCCGCATAAAAACAGACCTTTCACACCTAATGTAACATCGAATGTTGAGTTTGGTCTTTGGGCCCAACAATCATCACACAAGCCCACAATTTTTTTTTTTTTTTTTTTTTTTTTTTTTTTTTTTTTCATCAGTTAAATAAGCTAATATGTTTGTTTGGTTTCCAATTTCTACATCATGTGATTTTGTACTTTTTGCCGAATACATGTAGTTTTGTACTTTTAACGACTCTTTTATATAATTTGGAAATGCGTTTCCCTTTCTTGTACATAGAGGCGACCAAGCTAGGATCCACTTATGATGTGACATAAACTATTACTTTGGTAGTTCAGGTGATATAACTACAATGCCCCTTCAAGCAAAAATAAAATAGGCCCAAATCTAAAAAAAAATGGAGCATTTCTACTAGGATCAGAAAAAATACATTATTGATAGTTTTTTTATTTTTAATTATTACATTTGTATCAGAAATTATCTTTTCTACATATTATTTTAATTTAATATGATTTTAACATGATTCAACAGTTAGCAACTGACACCACCACTAGAGAAATTCCCTAAAAAATCAATTTACTAAATTGCAAATTTCCAATTTCAACATTTTTTTTTTTTTTGGTATGGTGTTGGATTTTCTTTTAATTTCAACAAGGAATGTTAAACATTTGGCAAGCATATCCTGTGATCAAATTAAAAGCAGTAAGAATAGTACCCAATTCTCCTAACCACAAGACGGTGAAAAATGGTACCAACTAGATAGATGGATCCAAGAACTTGAACTATGTTTAGAGATGGCATAAAACCCAATGCATAGATCTTCAAATCAAATATTCCAATATGGATTTCTCTTATTATTTTAAGAATCTAAAAAAAGAAAAAAAGAAAAAAAACAGTTTCCACTTTCCACTTTCTATATTTTCTTCAACAATGTGTTAAAGCTATGAAAGTCTTGTAAATACAATTTCAAATTAATGTGTATACTCACTGCTGCTTTGGGGAAACAATAAATTTATAAAAATTAAAAAAAAAAAAAAAAGAAGCAAAAGTGAATCACGCGTGAATTCATATTGATTTTGTGCTCAATTGCCACAAGAAATATGACCGGTTGGCGTGGCATTTTCAACTAAATTATTATAAGCATAATATCCTGTAATCACCCTCTCTCTCTCTCTCTCTCTCTCTCTCTCTCTCTCTCTCTCTCTCTCTCATGAAACTTCATTAGGCAACTCTTCCACGCAAAATGTGGTGGAAGTATTAGAACTTTGTACCATCAATTTTTAAATAT